ATTGCATCATCGGGAAGTAGTCTCGCGAGAGAGCTGCAAAGACAAGCGATCAACGTTCTTCCAAACCTCTTGCTCTCATTCACACAAATTTGTGTGATATGATTCGTCCACAATCTTTTGGATGATCCTTGTATTTTGTTACTTTCAGTGACAATTTCTCGTGCTTCACATAAATATATTTTTTGCGTTTGAAATCCAAAGCTTTTTCGGTTTTCAAGAAGCTCAAGGTCAAAGTTGAAAAACTTCTTGGCCTGTCACATCCTTTGTCTTTGCAATGACCGTGGTGGAGAATTCTTGAGTCGTGACTTTATCAATTTTTGTGATAACAAAGATATCAGTCTGGAGTTGACTCAAGCATACACACTCATCAAAACGGAGTCTCAGAAAGAAAGAATCAAACTTTACTTTAGAAAGCTCGTGCCATGATCACGGATGCCTACACTCCTTGTTTCTTGTGGGCCAAAGCAATCAATTGCCAATTACCAATCATTCAATTACAAGGGCATATGGAGGGATATCTTCCTATCAACAACTCTTTGGCCAAGTACCACATTTGTCTAATCTCCGTATCTTTAGTTGTCTGGCCTATGTTCACGTCCCCAAAGAGCACCGTACAAAGCTTGAAGATAGATTAGTTATATGCATCTTTGTTGGCTATTCGGAAGATACCAAGGATTATTGATGTTACATCCCTTTCACGCACAACATTCTTATTAGTGGCGATGTGAAGTTTGATGAAAACCGATTCTAGTATTCTGATGCATCTAAGGGAGTTCGTTCGAGTGTCTCTGTTGAAGCTCTCAACGACAAAAGTGTTGCCATTCAGGTAGTTGATCCAACATCTACTTCCAGATCTGCTCCTCAAAAAGTCACGATCCCGCTCAATCCGACAATGCAACGTCCGGCTTCGCCAAGGACCTTTGGTTCCAACGTTTTCTTGCCGGACGTGACTTCATCTCTCCGTGTCTACACTCGGCGTTCCAAGTCTCTTGATGTCACAACACCTTTCAGTCCCCACTCCGTCGAAGCTCATGATTTCGCGGCTCACGAATCTCCAGCTCCTCTTCACCGATCTACTCGGGATCGAGCGTCGTCTACTTGGCTTCGTGACTATGTCTGCACCGTCTCTACAGTTGACAACATTGCAGCTATGATTCAATCCTCTGGCGAACCCTTACACTATCGTCAAGCTGCAGTTGATCCTCTTTGAGTTTGTGCCATGAAGTCCAAGATGGACTGGATTCACCGTAATCAAACCTGATGTCTTGTACCTCTTCCAACTCATTCTTGTCCCATTCACGCCAAATGGGTTTACAAATTGAAGACCGATGTTGATGGTGCAATGACACACAAGGCTTGAAGTACCTTGACACCTTTGCGCCTGTAGTTTGATGGACCACTGTTCGAATTCTTGTTTCCACGACAGTCTAGAATAATTGGTCTATTCTTCACATGGATGTTAAAAGCGCTTTCCTCAACGGCAAGCTTACTGAAGAGGTATACTTAACTCAACCTCCATGCTTTGTTGTACCTGGTCTCGAATCTCACGTTTACAAGCTCCAACGTAGTCAGTACGGTCAACGCCAATCTCCCCAAGCGTGAGACAAGCGTATCGACAGTTATTTCCGTGAGGTAGGCCTTACTCCTTTAATCGCCGATCCTAGCCTATAGGTGTTTCGTGAAGGTAATTTTGTTTTACTCCAAGTCTACGTCGATGATGTTATGCTTAACCGTAATCATACTGCAAAAATCCAATGGCTCACGACCGAGTTGTGTCGCACCTTCGACATGATTGTACTTGGACGACTAGCTTTATATCTTGGCATCCAGTTTTTGTACACCGTCCACGGTATTTTTCTCTCCCTTGAGCGTTACATTTGCAAATGACTTTTAGAACTTGACCTCGTAGATTGTTATGGCACATCTGTTCCTCTTGAACTAGGAACTAAATTATCCTCTGATATGGGAGCTCCTCTCGTTGATGCGACCTTCTATAAAATAGACGTTGAAAAGCTTCTACACCTTCAAAACTCTTGTCGTGATATCTCGTTTGCAGTCGGTTTAGTCTCTCGTTTCATGACCTCTCCTCAACAACCCCACCTTGATGCGGATATTCAAATTTTTTGCTACCTCAAGGCTCATCCCACCTTAGGGGGAACCGGTGAAACCACTAGGTTATTCGGATAGTGATTATGCTGATGATGTAGAAGGTCGTAGATCCACATCTAGTTTTCTATTTTCACTTGGCAGCGGCCCAATTTTGTGGAGCAGCAAACGGAAATCAGAAGCGGCCCAATCATCATCTAAAGCAGAATATCGTGCTTTGGCAGAAGTTGCAAAGGAAGCTCAATGGATCAGATATCTTTTAAATGATATGGATGTCAAGCTTGATAACCTGATCACCATCTCATGTGACAATCAATCATGTACCAAGATGGCAAGGAATCTTGTTCTTCACGCACGCACCAAACACATCGAAGCACAGTGTCACCTCATTCGTGATTACATTGAGAAAGGAAGAATTCAACTTGAATTTGTGCGCACAAATGATCAAGCAGCAGACGGTTTTACGAAACCACTTAGCAATACCTCTTTCAGTGACATCGTAAACATGTTACAGATGATAGATACAAGGAGTCAAGAAAAGAAGTAGCTTCATTTAAAATGGAATTAAAGGTTCAACTAGAATTCTGTGATGTTTTCACATCCTCTCACAAAATAGGCAAGTCAGGTGTGTGGAGGAGTGTTGAACGGTCTTGTACCTACAATCACACCTGATCTATGTTAGGTTAATACTGATGAGCTTCGATAGTGTTGGAGGAGGTACCGAGGCCATTTGCCACTTTAGGTTAACTAGCCGCTCCGTAGGCATGCTGCCTTGTCATCTTGTGTGTGCATGTACTTAAGCAAGTGTTTTTCAATAACAAAGATACCAATGTGGTGAATTAACGAATTTCTTCAAGTTTCTTGTAGATAGATTCTGGGCAAATTGAGACGAGAATATGCATGAACAATCTGAGCTGCTCCTCCTTGTGAATGTAGAGTATGAGTGAGGACTTGCAACAAGAGAGGAGGAACAAGCGAGCTGGTGAACCAGACTCCGAGACACTTTGCTGATGCATGGAAGAGAAGAACAATACGACAAGGAGAGGAGCTTAGCAACAGAATACATCGATCGCGTATCAACTCCAACTCTCGGTTCTTGGCGAAGATCCAACTTAATAAAGACGTACTTGGCTGATGTTCACTCACCCTAGTATAGTAAGGGATAATGAGTCTAAACTGAATGATAACTAATATAGTAACGTGAGGGATAATTAATCTAAACTGAATGATAACTAACCGCTACCGATAAAAAATAAAGATCAATTGTTAGAATATGTTTATTAGCCCAAAGTATTGTTTTCAATATCTAGTAGTTATATTGATAGAAGATATTAGTTTAATTAGATTTTTATTCATTTTAAAAATAAACGGAAAGTGACTGAAATAACATGATGTCAAGTGAAGAAGGATCAAACCAAAATAATGGTTTGGCATCACACAAGATTATTACACAATAACTATACACTACATATAGTATACGTATTGCATGGGCATCTCAAGAACACTTCAATGATGTGTAATCAAGACTCTGAATATCGTAAAATCTAAAATTCTGTTACTGTTTCTCTTGAACCAATTTTGTGCCAAATTGCAAGATATACCAAAGTTCACAACATCTTAGACAATGAATTTTATATAAAATCGTCTAACCTCATAAACCTAAGTTCTTACTAACATTAGTCGAGATACCAAATGGTGTGGTTACATCTAGAAGCATCGTTTGCAGGCCTAGGGGATAGTATACGTTCCAATGAACTATCTATGACTAGTTCATTTTAAGTTTTTTTCGCAAGCTCGAATTCACTATGACTTGGACTTGACTGTTATTCTTAGGAGTGTGCGTCATAGTATTTTGTTGGACTCCTCTTGGTACACGAAATAAATAATATGTATGTATATATATACAATTGTAAACGTCTTGGTACAAATGTAATATCTTTAATATTAAAATTCACCTATGTATTGATTCGCTAAACATCTCATTACAAGAGTCAAAGCCCGTGGACTTTGACTCTTGGAATATATATATTTGTATAGTGTCAAAGTAAGGAACGCAAAGTATTCTAGTAGTCAAGATGCTATTATTGGAACCCTGGAAGGTTCTTTGTAAGGCCCCATCGCGAAGAAGCAATGGCTATAGGGATTACGCGTGTTGTTCTTCCATAGGATGTTGAATTACTCGCAGCATGATGTACTTGTGTACTTACTGCATATACTTCAGATTTACAGTGCACATTACAGTTACGTCATGAAAGTATGTTTAGGGCGTATCAAATCATTGAGCTCATTTTGAAACATATCATGGTCGTCTCCAGCAGGAATTTGCTCTACCAGTCGGTTGCCTGCGTCCATTCGCAAGGACACTAAGCTTTTGGTAACAACTACTGAACGAGAGAAAATCACACACAGGTGACAAAGCCTTACGAGGGTGGCGAGGGTCGACCACCCACCACTAAGAAGTACACGTCCGACAAACATTCAAACAACATTCGACAGATAACTTTGGAGATTATCAGGTGTCATATGACGCTTAGTGTGATATCTGTAACACAACCCTACCCGCCTTGAAACGTTCGCAGTGTTCCTTCACGTTCAATCTTTCAGAGTAGAAAGGCCCGTACACTACGTCTCGTGATAACCTTGAAATGCATTTTTTCAGTTTCAAGCGAAAGTTAACTATCGTATGATTTTTACTACCATACACATGCACCACAGTGTTTGCCGACCTAGGTGGTGAGCACTATCTACTTCTAGGGAAATAGCAGTTGGAAGATGTATGACTAAACCGAAGGCTATGCTTTGCAAGAGTAGACTGCGAGCTTTCATTCAGTGTGTTCGTATGCATACAAGAAAAGCAAAATTCGTCTACACTACTATCTCTCCACAAATTGTGTCCCTAACGAGAGTTGTTCTGGATTATGAAGCGGATAGTATACACACCAGTGTGACAACAAAAGGATGAGGATGTACACAGGTCACAGGATGAAAGAGAGAAAACGCACTGAAGAGCATCCCTGACTTGAACAATTTACAGAAACTGGGAGTGTCATGTACAATTTGCTCTTTGGATGTTTCCTACTCATCATTTACACCCTCGAATTCAATTTGGACTCAACTATCAGCAGAGGGAAAAATAATGTAGTCAACGCTCCTCTACCTCAAACCAGCCCTACGCTACATAAGCTGCTCTTGCAAGAGAGTGTAGGAACATGATCATGAGGCAACCCGTTGAAAAAAGTAGAGATACCCCATATCTTTTGGGGGATCTCCGGACAACGCTACTTTGCTGTCGTTATATATCACCCAACGACCCTCTTTCCTTACATGTACCACGTAATGTCCGTTTTGTGTGGATGTTCCCATATGGCTTACAAAAGCCAAGAGCTGGTACTCTGCAGGATACATCAACTAGTAAGTGATACGGAACTTTTCTTCATGAATATGACCAGACTGTCAAAATCCTACAGACTTTCAGGTCCAGCGTACTTACAAAAAGCAATTGGAATATAAACGCAATTCTCATTCAACAATAGCAAGACAGACATACTTCCCGAGCCATCCGGTAATGGTTGTTCTGACGATGTTGAAGGCTCCCTGCTGGTAGTAACATCCAGCTCCATCGCAACGATGTCATCGGGGTGACTGCATATCCATTCTGCTGCCCTTTCAACGTCTCCTCCCTGCATATGACTCCATCAAGCTCTTCTTAGCCGAAATTCGTCAATGAAACTGAAGCATTTGAAAAAAATGCCATCAAAATGATGGCTTGTTTTTAGAGCGAAGAGAAACTAGTGGCTATAACCTTACCGAAACAGTAAGTGCCTTTCGAGCTACATCTTCGGGGAAACCGAAGGAGATGAGAGTGTCCACGTGACTCTGATCGTAAGTTGGTTGCACAGCACTTGTTGAACTTTTGTTTCCAGAAGTAAGTGGCATGTCAATATCTACGTGAAGAAGTAACAAGGATAAGATGTCAGCAGCATTCAACAAACCACTACAAGATTGCTAAGAGAAAATATAACAAGGAAGCACACAGCTGAATACAAGAGGAAACTCTCCAAATATGCACGAAAATAGAATGGAAACCATACCAGGGTCATCCATGTGGGAAAGTAGCCAATTCATGGCTTCCTCAACACCCGTATTCGAGGTATTAAGGGCGGCTTTTTGACACCGAACACGAGGAAAACCCATATCCATAAGTTGTGCAACAATGCCTTCATCGGCTGATGGCCCCGACTCCTCAGGTTCTGAGATTGAGAGTGTACTCATTAGTATTGAATAAAATAACCAATCGTGTAGTCTACAAGTTCACAGGTTACTGCACATATTAGTCTTCTCTGCATGAACAAAAAGCTAAAATGATAGTCCAGTGAGATTGTTCGTGCAGACCAGGCTGCCAGCCACTGCTGCATATGCAATGTGGCTTGATTCATAGAAGTTTACAAATTATCGATTGGTACGCAGACGTACCTCCTGTTTCAGGCAGTAGCTCCTCATCAGGCTGCAACCCCTTGCCGCGCATATAACTGATATCTATCTCGTCAGGCACATCGATGAAAACATCTGCCCCAAGAGTATACTATGAGACCTTGTGGCAGGAAAGACACTTTTGCTGCCATTCGACAGTAAGCTCAAATAAAATAGAAACTGATATCTATTTCGTCAGGCACACCAATTAAAACAACCGACGTCTTCTAGCGTAAAACTCTACCATGGCTTCAAACTTGCAAAGATAAAGATAGAGTACCTACCTAGTTTTCTTGGCACCCAGCCGGCATCAAGCAGGAACTTTCGCATGTGTAGAACGAGGTAGTCTGGAAATGTCACCAATCTTGATGTCCTGCCGTAATTTCGAGATTTAAATGTGGGCGCGTAAGTCAATTGCACTAGTAACGGAACGTATAACAGTATCACACAAAGAGCAGGACGTCATCAAACACGAGGTTATCATCGTCGGCTGAACCAGCGTAAGCAGCAAGGATAAATTCTGCTATCATCGTTCTAGTTGTCATGCAGTATCAGTTCCTTTTGCAAAGACCCTGGAGTAAGTGACATACTTTATTGCAGTTGTTCTTGAGTTCGTGGCCGTACTGTAAAAGTCTTGCACTTCCTCCGGAGCGAAGAAACATTCCAAACATGCTGCCAAAGGAACTCTAGGCCTCACAAACTCCTCAACTTCCCTGCAATAGATCAACACCAAGTTGGAAAGTTAGACGGATACTTGTGAAGTTCAGGCTTCGCATGTATGCTTCATTCCAAGTGTACATGTATCCTGGAAAAAAGTAGCCAGGTACCAATTCCCAGCTACAAATGACTTCAGAAACAAATAAAAGTGATACATGGTCAACAGCAGGGGCTTGGCATGCAATGAACCTAGTACCAATCTACGGAATAAAACTCGTTCGTTACATCCTTTTTCAAATGATGTGCGTCATGAACTGCGACGGCAGACTTCACAACTTTGTGAAATACGTAATCAGAATTCTCACAGTTGAAAATTGACACCAGTATGATCATCTTCCTTACAGAATCATTGTCTCGATTGGTGTGTAAAGAATCATTCATGACTTGTGAGTTAGGCATGCAACACAAATTTGCGCGTCTTTATCTACGTTCGTTGTTGAGAACACTTACAGCTTTTCTCCTAGTTGTTCCTTCTCTGCCTTCAACTTTTGAAAAGCATTTATTTCATCTGCAACAGGAGAAAATGTATTAAAACTGATGTCCTCAGATCGCTCAAGATAACGGAGTGTACTTTGTAATACCTCACAACTGTAATCCACAGAAAGAATCTTACCCTTATTCACTGCAGCGTGAAGAGGTATATTCAAGGAAAGCACATTATCAATTTTTCGTGTATATCGAACTTTACGAGAGGTAGAACACATTATTCTTTCCTCCACATAAAATTTGAATGCACGGGATGGATCTTCGAGGGAGTTCATAGAATGGTTCCTTTCCACTTGCTCCAGAAAGTGCTGAAAAAACTCCAAAGCATCCTGCGAGAAGAGGGATTCTAGGCTCAGTCACATAGGACGGGTGAATATGAACCCAGTGAACAATGCATGACCCCACGAACCACAATAGATATCAGCGATGGGCTAAAGACGGTTTTAATCTGTAGATGAAACAGGCAAACCGCGCTGCAGTAGGAATGACAGGAACAAACAGACGAGGAAACGAGAACTTGCGTCATGCCTTAATTATACAGCTACCTGTTGCCTAGCACTAGCAAACTCCGGGTGCCCAGTCCCGATAAGTGATTTAAACATCCGCGGTGGTATGCCTTTCTGTACCTGCAAATAAGAAAAAAATAGAGCTGATAAATGGGTGCAGATTAAACTTTGACATGATTACGACTACTTAGGGATAAAAAAAACAGCAAAGTAAGAGCCCGTAGAGATTCTTGCATTTCATTGAACTTAAATTCTGGATCCCATAGCTTCCAAAGGTATGAAAGTACGGAGAGAGAGAGAGAGAGAACAGCAAAGTAAGAGCCCGTAGAGATTCTTGCGTTTCATTGAACTTAAATTCTGGATCCCATAGCTTCCAAAGGTATGAAAGTACGGAGAGAGAGAGAGAGAAGAGCAAAGTAAGAGCCCGTAGAGATTCTTGCATTTCATTGAACTTAAATTCTGGATCCCATAGCTTCCAAAGGTATGAAAGTACAGAGAGAGTGCAGTATGTGAAAGAGAGGTTCTTTCACTTATGCAAACTAGAGGTGACGTAGCCTTTTCTTATATTTAACCGAAAACCCCCATCAACTGTGCAACCTGTTATGCTGTTCTACCCAGACCTCTGGATAACTAGAACGACCCCTAATCCTGAACACAGTGACTTACACCCACATTGACCATTCATGGGCGCAGAGACATACAAGTTTTCCAGCCTCATCTTCTTCCTCCTCTTTCTCGGTCACCTGAAAAGTCATAGAGAAAGGTATCAGTCGATGTGTACAATGTCAGAATATAACAAAATAATGGGACTAATTTGAAAGTCACACACGTAAGGGGCCCTCAGAAGTCAAATTGATTCTTCACAATCTAGATCCTTTTCTTGAATGTTTCGGGACCTGAATAACATCTCAGGAAAATTAAATTGACACCCTACATATAATGCATCCCAAAGGCGTGAACATCAAGCTTCACAGTAACACAAACAAGAAGAGGCTAAGCCTGAAGACGACATGACGATCCGAGAAGCACTCCAAAAAAATGGAAACTGAGAGAAATCTCTCATCATAACTATACAATATAATCACAGCTCTATATGATGATATATTTATACCTTCCCGGATGGACACGAGTATTTTCCCGAGAGAATCCCATGTGCCAACTTTGTTCTGTGAGCAACAATCACTTAGAAGTTAGCAAAAGTGTCGAACTTCCGTCAAGGGGAAAAATAGCACGACTACTTCAATCAATTTCAAGACAGCCCGTTAACAAACTATATACACTATTTGACTACTAATGTCTGAAACCAAAGCAGTCAATGATGTTATACATGATGGGACTGTCGAAAGAAGACATTTAGAACCCTTCAAGAGAATAACGTGTACAGAAGGTAGAGGAAATAAACGTGAAACGCACGGACTTACAGTTGAGTATTAAGGTCAAGCGTTGGGTCAGCTGGTGCCCGTTCAAAAGCGTCATCCAACTTGGCATTCATGTAGTAGCTGTAAAATATAAGGATGAAGAAACGAGTTAATTCACAGTTTATAAACATTATTATAAGTTTACAGAATTATTCAAAGAGAGGACCAAGCCGAAAATGGCAGCAAAAGTATGATTCTTACTATTGCTGAAAATCCTTGGTTGAAAACACGGCTTGCATGATTGACGCGAGATAACAACTGTCAGGAGCCAGAACAGCCAAAGCTTAGGTCATACACGCAAACACCTGACTTGGTATGCGAATAAAGTAACATCGGACGGCCAACAAATTCGGAAAATGCACCAAGGCTGACTTGTTTCCAAGATTCAAATAAAGAAAGTCGAAACTTCTAAACTTCTAACAAAGATACAACAGTTCTTGTCTAGGATCTATCAGATTTCCAGTACCCCTATAATCCTAACCCGACCAAGTCATCGGATCTGACTTGCCGTAAAATGATACGACATTCATCACCTTCATATCTATGTGGTAACTACATGGATGCGCACCTGTTTCCAAGATTAGCAAGGCCAGTATAACCAGGTCCAAATAACGGTTGCAACTCTTTGCCCTTTTCCTGTATACGATTCCAATCAAAATTGACGTTCTGGTCCAGTTCCCTTTCCGCTGTGGTCATTTCAGTCTGCAAATTTACCAACAGTGAGTAAGTACTTCAAGACCATAGAAGCAATTTAATATATTTCATGCAACAAAATATTCACACCGTCCTTACTTTCTGCAAAGAAGAGAAATCGATGCCGAAGTGCTCTAGATGTTGAGCTAGCATTGGATCCTCAACAGTTTCGTCGTCCTCGTAAGAGTACACATCTGTAACCAGCAACTCCAAAAAAGGCACTATCAACATGCTGAGTGTTTATCGCAAATTTCTATAAATCTAGACCGAGTACCAGTACTCAGTACGAGTGGATGGGGAACCATTATGACAGTTACAAGGCATGCTCAGACAATGAAGTGAATGATAGTTCCACATAACGAATAGCAGTGAAAGCTTCAAGCCTTAGGGCAGAGTGTATGCAATAAAAAACAAGACTCGATTTCCATACATGACATACATACATTCCACCAGCAGGACTCGTCCAAATCAGTTATGAGGTATTAACCACTCAAGGAAAAAAACATTGCAATATCAACAAACAATGTAACAAGAAAAGGATGCTCTAGCTTCGCCTTTATTGGGGGTGGATGTATGGTCAGAAACTATCATCAGCTTAGAACATGTACGCACGTTACCCACCCCACTACTATCAAAATCTCATCAGCCTCCTTGAGAGATCTCCCTTAAATGATAAGAGTACGTCGAGAAATATACTTGAAGGTAAGATAACACAGAGAGTGATATATTCGTGCATAAAAAGCCTCGTGAAGGAATTAGATAAGAATCACAACGTGACATATTTTCTCCAATACATCAACTAAGATTTGGGTCAATTGTGTGAGTGACTTACTTGAAATCCATAACAAAGAAGATAAATCCAAGCGACAATTCAAAAGGAAGAGATTGCACTACAAGATCTCACCTGCAGAATCTAGATCAGCTGTTATTGTGCCTAACTTCACGGCCAGGGGGTACTTTGTCTGAAGGTAATGTTCCACTGCATGGCCATTACCCCCACTACCATCCCAGTTTCGCCTCCCACAATTGATCATGCCATCTGTTAAATTGAGCCACAGATTCTCAGTTTTATCACACTTCGAACACTTCCAGCCAGTTGGAGCCACCTTCACACCGTTGTCCAGTTGCTGTAAATTTAGTGCAGACTCGCTCACTTGCTTCTTGCCAGCAGTCCATGCAGATACCTCTTCCTTCCGCTCAGCACCAACAGCTGCCAGCACCCCATCCACGGCCAACCTGACCTGACAGCAAGCAAAGTGACACACATTAGCTCCAGAAATATAGACAACTTCTTAATTTCTACACGCCAAAGGCGCAATGCGTGACTTAATACAGGTATTTCACAGAGGTGTATTTCGAAAATCAGCGCAAGTCACATAACAAACTTATTAATAAAACACTTTGCACATATTGACAGCAAAGAAAATACACTTCTTTCCGATATAAACCATAATAGAAAAAGAAAACTTTAGACAAATTTTTAAGAATCTTTTTAATATCGATTCTTGAAAACTTACTCCATATACAGAGCTCAAAGGTTTATATACATACCAAAATTGTAACAACATCGACTTGTTAAGAGGTGGACGGTTTTCATTTGTTTTGAGATTCCATACTCAAGCAGTTCTCATAATATTCCATGTATCGATGGGGGCTTGCTAAAGCCTAACCGATATACTTTACAGATAAGAAGATAGAACATGGAGAGGGCTGACACTCCAGATGTTTGTCCAAGATTGAATTAGACAGTGGAAAAGTCGCGAAGCTAATATTATACCTTCTCGGGTAGCTCAACACTTGGAAATGGTAAGCTGACAAATTCTGGTAAAAGAACGATATTATAAAACTCTTCATATTCAGTTTCTTTCGTGTCAAAACCTCCATCAACACCTGTGCAGCCATGAGACACTAAACGAGTCAAGAACAATATGTGTGACAGTGATCCACCATACTTGAAACAACTACATTCAAATTATGTACTGTTAGCATTGAAGTTTCATATATTATGCAAGAAACTCAATTCTTGCGGGAAGTAAGTACGCCCCCGAGAACTGTGCAAACATAACGGATGGCAGAGGGGCCTGAAACTTTTGAAAAAACAAAGAACACATACCAATTGCCAGCAATGTGGGCTTCTTGTGTGGCCGATCTTCACTGACTGGCTTAGGCCTCTCCTTAATATTTAGATAAACCGAGTTTCCAGTCTTCTTGTGATTCCACATAACGTACTCCCGGCCGAAGGCAAGGAAGGAATTGAGATCCACAAAAAGGCCTCCCTCTGACCTCTGCACACCAAGAGCATGAACTCGATAATGTAAGGATCCTCAGTAAAAAAACAGCAGTGTACATTTCCCAAGCTAGAAATCAAGAAGCGAAACTGCAAGAATCAAATAAAGAAATATGATTTCCATATGTCCAGTTAAGCCCAGGCTATCAAAAGCTTGCGGTTGTAGCCCAGACGACAAAAGGATGCTAATATTTCGAAAATTGAGCAATTGAACATAAAACTTACGCTTGGGAAATCAACATCATGAGCTAATCGTGTAAAGGATTAAATCATTGAACCCTGATATCCACAATGTACGAACCCTAAATAGAATAAACAATATCGCCTTTCACCATGCTCTGAGATCCACGGGTATTTGACTTCAACCGTCCAGAAGTCAACGAGAGAGGATGGGAGACAACTCATGCAATATGGAGAAATTGAGCTGTTTGAAGCGACTTAAGGTTGTAGACATTGAGTGCGTTACACGTCACAGCCCAAAAAAACGTCAACCAGATACTCGAATAGTGATTTCATGGAGCATCGCACACAAGTAGGTCATCATACACAGAATTCCAAAGAAGCTAGAGAAACGGAGAAGACTCGACGAAACAGAATGTTTCCACGACGATCAAGAATTTCAATCCCCAGAATTTGAAGCAATGAGGAATCCGCTCAACCTCAAAGAGGTTGAGTTCAACTGGCTTGAGGCAACTCACTGGGGTTTGGAAAGAAATGCAGCATTCTTGCTTGTAGATCCGATTGGAAGGCTCTGGAATGCGGACTCGATTCAACCGAGCGCGCAGAAGCTCCATAGCTGCGTCGACACCCATTCCCAACACCCCCACAAGTTGCGAAAAGAAACTCCTCGCAATGTGCCCGTCTACCTATGCATCCAGTGCTCTGCCCCTCCTCCTTCTTCTCCTTCCCATCCGAATTTTACATCAACTTCATCATCCAACCACCATCTGAATTCTGTCCCAACACTCTCCACTTAATGAACCCACTTGTAGCGGGAGATGACATGTATATAGAGTTCCCCAGTCCGCTTCCGGTAACTTCAACGCCTTCTTTTCCTCCTCATCTGTTCTCTTCTCTTAGTTTAGGGTTTGGGTTAAATCATTCTCGCAAAAGTTACACGGACAGAGAAAGACGAGGGTCCCAGGTTCCGGGGTCCACCAATGATCAACATCGCATTGGACGGACCCATATCTGTGGGCCCTGCAGGTGATTTTATACAAGATTTGGCATGAAAAGTGAGCAACGCTTGCACCAATATGCTTAGTTTATCGGAATTCAGCAAACAAGAACAGGCTTTGCTTTTATTATCCAATGGGTACCCGCACTGTCTGCCATGTTCTGCACGGGCGGCGTATGTTTGTGTTTTTTGCAGTTTAAGGTAAAAGTGAGGCGGAAGGAACAAAACTACCTCTGGTCATAGGATGTGATCTCTCCAACACTTGACTCATGCATGCAAATTTGGAGACCATGTAATGATGGATGTTCCCTTGTGGAAGTCACTTATTGCAACTATCTTCGCCTTCAATTTTAGACGCAAATTATTGGGGCATAGCCCCATCTTCTCATTCTCTGGTTTCATGGTAAGAATTGATGGGGTCTCTATCTTTTTGCAAGATTACCTGGGATACGTATCTTTTAACCAAAGATGATTTCAACACTATTCCAACAACTGATGCAGTAGTGACAAACTTTGTAACTATTCTAAATGGAGAGCTATTCTGGGAGATTAGGATATATGGATAGAAATGATTACTCCTACATTAACGAGGGAACAAATGTGTATCAGGATTTGCATGTCATGTATGAGTTCGTCGGTTTACAACAACCTTGCCGGTAGCTCCCTCTCGGTACATTTGAGTAAGTGACAATAATCCGACGTCCAAATTAGATGTCCATGATGAAGAGTACCGACCGAGAATCAAAATCCTAATAGCATGACGTATCTTTTAATTCATACATCTTTTACGAGATCATACAAAATATTTATCACATGTCATCTTGAAAAGTTAAGATGTAAGCCCCAAGATAGCAATTGCGTGTGAAAGGATGATGTTTATAACATCAAGGTTGAAATCAGATTATCATTTACTTTTCATTACATTGTTTTATTAAATTGTGGTATACAACAGCTTAAAATCATAACTTTGCAATCATAAATTTTTTTACAAACATGATCTTTGATTTGTATATCATTATTTTCTAAATTTGAAATCTATCATAAACTTTTCTGATTATATGTATCTAGATGTTTATAAATATAAACTAATTAGAATAAGTGACTATTTTAAAGTATTTTAGATTCAAAAGAGTAATATGATGTTGCAAAAGAATAGTTGTGATATAACATTAACATGCATTAAAACATGTAGAGAACCTTTATCACATGCTAATGAGTTGACTTGCAAATACTCAGAAGTAAAATCTATGTATTTGGCATTCGTGATTATTTATGAACCAATCTTAACTATCAATATAAAAAAAATGATTTATCTATTTCACTCAAAAAATGCATTAGATATTTGATTTTGTGGTGTAATCAGATAATGAGTAACGAGTAAGCATAATAATGTTGATGTTGAAAGAGATCATATTCAATATTATTATGTGTATTTATACCATTAGCTCAACGTCTCATTACTATTAGAGAGATGAAGTGGTACGGGAAAAGATAATCACATGGGTTGGATTTAATCTTATAGGTTGAAATAATCTTTAGATTGAAAATATGGAATTGAGGAAAAAAAATGAGTCAAAAAGTACAGAGTAACACTTGTAGAAGAGAGAGATTTATACAAGTTTGTGTGAAGAATAAAGTGTTGTATTAAATATATCAAAAATTGGGCATTTGTGAGTTCAAGAAATATAAATTGGTTCGAACCTGAAAATGCTATAAACTGTTGGTCTATTTAAAATTGAATTGTTGTATTTTCACATATGTACAATGTGACTATGTTAAAGAAAAATACAACTATTATGAGTTTTTATTCCAGGTTAAACTCAACATAGATAGTCAAGGCATCAACAACACAAAATTTGTACATTTTTTACTTTCTAGAAAGTACAAAATTAATGAATTTTTTGTTGGAATTTTAATAGTATAATTTTTTTGAATAAACTCATCAATGAAGCTTTATGATATCACAAAATGATAGTGTACTTATTTCTATTGAAAAAACCTACTTTTAACATAAACGTGCTGTGTTTTACATGCAACAACACATACATATACATCACTTTCGATTAAAATTTCAAATTTACATCTGAATTTCTTTTTATACTTATCTTTCTAATATCAGTGTATTTTTTCCTTGGTGTTCAATGGAGTATTTAGATGCAAAATTATAAACCAATGGATATTGAAGAACAAGATTCATATGATAAAATATTCTTTATCCATAATTTCAAGAAACAAGAAATCAAGAATCATTCATAAGCATTAAATTTTCAATAATAAGAAATATCAACACAGTTTTTTCCATTCTATGTCACATACTTCATTTTTTATTTTGTCAGTGGAGCAACTTTAGAGAAATTCTTTTACTCATTTCAAACATTATACAGCAATCAGATCCATCAAATTTTGTTTTTCTTAAAAGGACAACTTTAGGGTTTTTAATAGGACTTTGAATGAAAAATTGTTTTTATTTACTGACCGTTTAAGATATATCGAATTATATTTGTAGAGATAAACATTCTGTTTCATTTGGAAATAAATAGTAATTGTCGTAGAACTATCAAAGTAACGATTTTGCAGCAGGAAAGAGAGTATCTGCGCAAAGATTGATTTTTGTTCTAACCCTCTACCCTGGGCTTTCCCAAGCATCTGCTCGAAAAGATGAGCTGTGACAGCTTTTGCAGCTTGTAGAATAATGGACCAAGGAAATAGAAAGAAAGACAGAAAGATTCTGGGTGTGAATTCTGCTTGAAGCCTGCATTCTTGATTCAGGTGCTCCCACTGGTAAAAGTTCGTCACTACTCTAGAAGTGTGTACGAACGCAAAATCAGATCCGTGTCAATCGTCAAATCTTGTTGCCTGCAATTGCTCGACAAAAAGTTGCGGAACTGGTCGGAGGTAAACATGCTACGACGAGAATGGCACCAGAGTTAGGAACCTCGCTCACACATTTCGGCCTTCAACTTTTCAGATTGAAGTTAACGCTTCGAGCACTTTTAAACTTTCCTCAGGATCTGGCTGGATTTTGAGGTTTTCAGAGGGCAGCTCTCGTTTACTAGTGCACGCAGTTTGAAAACAGTGGTGACGGTTCCTTCCTTGCGTCGAAAGGCGTGCTGAAAGGTCCGACAGGAGTTGAAGGTGAGAACAGACAGTAAAGACAATTTTGTAAGCGGTACCATCTGACGTGGAATGACCCTGACTGTTCGTGACCAACAGGAAAGGCTGTTCATCTTCGCTATTCGGCACCAATTCGGCACCCGATGGTCATGGGGGCAGGATTAGATGTCGTCCCAACTTGGTCTCCTTTTCTTGATTGGCACGTTTACACGCTGTATAAAAAGCTTTAGCCTGAAGACAATTCGTGTTCAAGCGACGAAAAATGATGCTTTGTATGATGAATAATTCTGCTCCACTCTTGAGAAAGGTACCGACTATGCTTTAATTATATCATCTGGATGTATAAAAGGAAATGAGGGGCGGAGTCTTACATTTTGTAAACTTTTATTGTGATATGTCATAGGGGTCCTGGAGTTGATGAAAAAACGTGAATTTTTGTCATCAGTACAAAAGTTAATAAGTGCAAAAGTAAGCCGATTATCGACGTGTTCACAATAGTTCCGACGCTGTGACACTCCATTATGATTGCCCACTAAGGAGTAAATAAGACGTATGGCTAGAGTAAGATCAGTATAGCATACACCAGTTCGTCATATTCGATGATCTTACTCGGCGACTACGCAGACATGATCTGAATAGAATGAAAGCACCTTTTGGCTGAACTTCGGAGGGCTTAATTTTCAATTTTCATGTATCGTGTCAACAGTGCTGAAGCTATATTGGCGATTGAGGGTGTCTACTTTTAATCCAGCCGAACATACAGTTTTGTCAGACTGGTTTTGATCGGTTGTTGTTACTTGATTGGCCAAGCAAGCCTGATGCTTGTTGAACACGTTGAATAAAATTTACTTTGCCTGAAATAATAAAAACACTCGGGGAAAACGAGAATCATTGCATGCCATCCCTGGAGGACCCGTGGCATGCAAAGACTAAGAATACCCCCAGGTTAACGCACTACGATAGGTTGAACAAAAGATGTTACAACAATCCCGTGGCCAACTTTTGATCCGCTCTTTATACATTCGAGATGAAGCATATATCAAGTGACATGGATCAACGGCCATCTTCCGACTAGAATAAAAGGATTTGATTATTCAACAAATGGTACAATCAAAATTTAGACTCTACTAGACAACCGTGTGAGAATATCGTTGATGTCAATTTGAGCAATAGTATGCGCACTCGAAACGTACAAGTGCACATCTAGTATACAGTTAAGCTTCTAAAGAAACCTTCGTGGGAAGGCGCGATTTAAGTGATGTATAAACAAGAATCTTGTGTTCATAAATGAGGCATTTGCTACTAGTACACAGTTGTTCAATCCCCCTTATGCGGCAACTGCTTCAGATGGGGCAGCCTGCCCGCTTTCCTGCACCGGCTTCCTCAGCTTGACCCTAAAGGCAGCCTGATCCAACAAAGAGCACAGGTACAGTAAGAGATAATCAATTGTACGCATCTGCCAAATTCAGGCAAATGGTTTAATTCTCCCACCTAAAGCAAAATACACTAACTTGCAGCCAGCCTGGTTTCAGCATTATTGAATGATCAACTGAAGGTAATATGACACCCAAAGTATCAATCTCCGAATCCCCTCACGATCGGGTGTGGGACTGCTGGACGTACCTCTTTAGATGTACCAAGTTCGATGGTGTCGCCCTGGTGAATTCGTACGGGGATTGATGGTGGTGCTTGGAAACGTGCTCCATCAATACTGCAAAACATAGTGAATTGCGTCGAGTAAGGAGATGATTGCATGCAGAAATCTCGACAAGCAGATACACTTCGGTCTTACAAGAGCTAAGGCTCGTTACTACTTCAGTCTATCTAGTCCAAAATGAGTTCATGCAGGAATGTAAAAGCCACGGTTCCTTACTTCGTTATCCAAGTGCCACTTTTGCTCTGCAGATCAGTGATGAAAACTGCACCATCTGTGAAATCAAATCGAGCATGTCGTTCCGAAACCTGCAGTCAGATTTTGTAAAGTTAGACCGGAGAACACAGCATACATAAAGCTTCAATAATTTTGAGAAGACAACTAGAAGCACGGCTCAGTTGGTGTCAATAAAATATTTTCTCCCAGTATGTGTTTATCCGTCCAGCAAATACAATGTCCGACAAGTGGGCTGGGATAAGCAGGATGTCATACTCCGGGAGCAGCAACGACTGCAGCGTACACGTCCGAATCCTTGCATTCTTCACACCTGCAGACACGGAAACCTCGGTTCATGTTATCACAGACAAGAGCGTTCATCACATTACAAAAGTATGAGGGGTGGTCCGGATTGTTCAGAAAAGATTGAAGAAGTTTTTTTCTCCAGGAATCAAAGTATACGTCGGGAAAGGAAAAGACTTTGAGAGTAACGGTGCTTGATGTGGTGCGCATTAAGAAAGATGAAAGAAATCTTACCCTAGAACTGTGGATTTCGTGGAATCAATTCCTACTATACGTATAATTTTCTTTCCAGAAGCAGTCGTGTCTCCAACTGGCATTCTCTCTCCCGCAGGTAGCAAGTACCACCTTCAGGACCACCCACCACCAAATGTCATGTCATTTGAGAATTCAGTGGCAGTTCGTGTGCGATGCAGATGCTTCTCAGGATTAAAGAAAAAGATGTTTCTACACTGCATAATCCTGCGAAGAAGGTCTGGAAATTCTGGCTTGAGTCTGGTTTCTTACTCTGCAGTTGTAGCACGCTCTAGCGCATCATCGTCTGAGAACCACTTCCTCAAATTATCATCCGCCTGCACGCATGAAACATAATAAGCAGTTAATATTGTACTATGCCACAATTTGTTTTTCTTTGATTAGTGAGAGAGCGCGATACCATACGTGAAAATACTATTCAGTCTCTTGGGAAACGGCCTAGGAAGCTGGCACAACTCATAGATAGTTAATTGCCCAAAATAAGCAACAAGTTCCTTATGGCGTTCTAGACATGGAATTATTATGACAACCCTCCAAGAATGCAGTTTTGGAAGCTCCGGAGCAGAAGTCAGAAACATCATTCAGATCTAAAGTAAACAGCAAGTTAAACTTCTCCATGCATTCTACATAGCTTGAACTCTTACCTTATCCTCTAACCTGCATCGGGGTGCCCGACCTTCCAAAGCAAACCTGAAAAGAAAGTCATAGAGAAGTTAGCTTTGAAGAGACTAGCTGCGCTTGGTGATGATTTATCATAGTTAAAGAAGGGGTATTCATTCATATGAGAAAAGCTGAGAGCCAAATAAACAGGCACGCTCCATCACAGAGTAATAATCTCCTGATCTTGCCACAACGTAGTTAACCATTCAAGCACATTCGACCGATTCACGCAACATGTAGGCAAGTTACTCCGTGTACTGAGATAAATGAACATTACGTGTTGCCTCCAAGAACCCAGCTGAGCATGACAGGCATGCCAATAGTGATGAAAAACTGTCCTGCAACCCTTCCTGGGTGGGGTATCCTCAGTTTTTGTATGACCTGGGACATGGAAAACAAATTGTCATGAACTGTAAACAGGTAAACAGCGCAAGCTGAATATGCTGTAAACAGAAATCACAGGCCGTTATCAAGAAAGCATTCGGATTCGTACCGAAAGAGGACCAAGACCTTCACCAAGGTAGGCTTTGTAAGTAGACGCCATGATGGCAGCCATGCCAGCCATACCATGTACAGCTGCAACTCTCATTCTCCTCTGGCTTTCGTATCTGCAATAGATTTTAATAGTGAGTGGAATGATATGACACAAGGGAAAATTAGGAAGTCGGTAAGTCGTTGCTCTCACTTACGACACCTAGTCATCATACGTGAGTTAAGAAGAGCGCTACAAACTTCAGAGTTGGTCCATAAGATGTACTGTCCCTTTTGTTCAGGATGAACCATCAGCCGGAGTTCACATTCTAAGTGCTGAAGATACTCAGCTTATCGGTCGCTATTTTGACTGATGAACATGTCCAGCTAATTTACTAAAGTTTTCTTCAGTAGCATACCCTGATGGAAACAGGGTGTTTTTCTATGATCATTCTGGATTGCAGGACGAAACTAAATCGAGATGAAACGTAGTAGTTTTCGAGGTAACTTCCTCATATTGGACTGTTTACATCGGAACTCGTCGAAAACCACACGTAGATAGACAAAATACCTTCGGAGAATGTCAGGAATGTCGACGGATTTATCTCCACCCTCCATGGCCTTCTCCAGGTCGAGGGCTAATTGATAACTGTCCTGTAAACCGAATTCGAGACTATCTTTCAGAAGTCGGAACAACAAACTGTGGTTTTGTTGGCTGTTGGCAGTTACTTGTATGTACATAAATTCAACACAAAGACGTGACCCAAACTTTGAGTACTGCATAGCGCCGCTTCGACTGCAGAGAAAATTAAAGCTTTGGAATCACCCAGCTCAACGCCCAATTTGAATCCTCCAATCTATTTTGATAGTTTAGGATAAGAAACCATTTTTTCATACCTCAATAGCCATACAACCGCCCTGCCCCATGTTTGGCTGCATGGCATGAGCAGAGTCACCTAATAGAGTAACTCGGCCATTGCTCCAGGTCATTATTGGAACTCGGTCGTAAATATCGCGCCGTAAAATTTGCTCCTCTGGAGTGGCAAGAAGCAGGTCCACCACCCCATCACACCAGTGTCCAAAAAGATCCATTAGTCTGTCCTTTCTTCCTGAAAACAACAACGGACACACAACATCATGGTCAGTTGGCAAGAGTGCGTAATTCAAGTTAGAATGAGAAGGACGGTCGTAAGCAATGACCTAGTGAGCAAACTACTGGAACGACAGCTTCCACTAGTTTCCCTAGAGCTTGTGAGGCAACACATAGTCCGCTAAGTACAGACAAGAGAGACCTTACACAGCTGTAGGCAGCCCACTGGTCGGGCTGACAGAAGGTCGTTAGGAATCACTAAGATTAAGCAAAGGCTTCACAATTTTAGGCCAAGACGCTAGGTTAAGTGCCTTCAGCAAACATTATTCACTTAGTCGGTTAGAGGCGAAGACTATCAGTGACGCCCGTCACAGGTAGAGAGAACATACCGCCTGGAGGATCGACGCCTCCTGCTGGCTCATTGTGAAAGGCATACCATTGCATCTTGCCATGTCCAACATCAGACGAGACAAAATACTTCTTGTTTCCAAGGAAAACTCGGTATCTGGACATCAACAGACACGAAAAGTTCACTGGTCATGATAGAAGCCTAGAAATTTTATTTCAGAAATTTCACAACAACAGTCTTCGTCAAATCTGATAAAGGTGATAGGGACCTAAGCGTGTTTGAAAGGTAGCTGCTCATCTTAGAAAACGGTGAAAGTAGGGTGCCCGAACTATGGTCTACAGAACTCAGAGGCCCGGCTGGAGTGTGGAAGATCTAAGACTGTCTGTCTTGAGAGACAGACGACACCATACTTACCCGACAGTTTCAATATCGGCGGGCACAAAGTCGGCAATTCCCGTGTAGCATGTGTACTGAGAAAACGTTGCCTCTGAGGGACCAAGTAGTTTAGTGCGTACCTATAACAGGACCAAACTGAAGTTAGCCCAAGAGATTATTTGTAGCAGTGTCAAAGCTTATGGTATCTCAGGATAGAGAGCTACAGGGTGTGTGCACCTCTTAAAATGATCTTGTCCCGAGCTCCTGCGCTCTTGTTAGGGTGCTAGTCTAGTAGAACCTTCGTGTACCATCCACACGGTCCTACAAATAAGAAGAATCGGAGTGCCTGCTACCTCCATCATTTTGGTTCGTGAAGTTTTAAAATAGCTCTGAGTTATCTGTGAAGTGTTGACTCTCCATGTACTGATTACAACAGACTTCCTCTCACCTTATTGCGGCCTTCGTTACCCCGTTTGAGAATCCAGCGAAAAACCCTTTGGAACCTGATATACTTCGTTCAAATGTCTGACAATTACTTACTTTCGCAAAGGTGTTTTCTCGTTTGGATCTAGATGGCCATCTCGCTGTAATCGCCAGTGTAAGTTTCGAAGTCCATGACAAAGTAGGGTATCTTACCTTGGAACGAATACCATCTGCACCGACGAGCAGATCTCCTTCGACGCGGCGGCCGTCTTCGAGTACTACTGTAACCTGTCAGGAATTCAGGATGGAAGGACTGAGAGCAAGGTCTACAAGAGTAAAGGAAAATCCTATCGATTTCAATTGGGTCTCAAAACTGATAGGCCAAAATTGGGTGCAGGGATATCTGTGAAAGGAGCACGATTCTGTACAAAGATAGATCTGATTTCCGGCTAACGTAAGCTCGGCGAAGAGCCTGCAATTGTGGCTAATCTCATCGCTCGTCAAATTGAGTTCTGTAAACTGGACTCACTTCGAGATACGCAACGGATCAGGGTCCGTGTGTACGTCAACCTAACATAGTATGGTATCTACTTCACAGCAAGAACGAACCTTATCATCGCCATCCTCAAAGTCGACGACGTTGCAACTGTTCTCGATAATCTCCTCTCCAACGGCACGGGCCAATATTTGTTGAAGAGTCATTCTACTAATCACCCTTGTGACTGGAAGCCCTCTCTCCACAGCGGGTGTGAAAGTGTCAAATTTACAGTACCTGCGCATGTGGGCAAGTGGATAACATCCCCGTCAGACGGAGAGATCAATTCCCTTGCTCAGGACCCTTATCACAACGCTTGTAGAGTGATTTGTAGAACGCCCAGAATTGCTTCAAGGCACGAGCTTGAGGCTACAGTGTAGAGCCTTCAGAAGAAAATCCTCCGAAGAAAATTTCCTGTTGTCACCAGACTTTGTGATGCGTGTTGGGCAAATTAGAAACCTGAGCAAGAATACTTGTATGATCGAGGTATCACGATTGAATTATCTTATGAAAATTCTAATGTGCCGAATCTAACTCTCATTACGACTTGTAAAAGTTTCTGGAACCAGCTCTGCCCTCGAAGCAGGTCTAGTTCCTTAAATTTACTCTAGAATTCAGAAATGGGCATAAATCCTCCCAGAAGCTCAATTCGTCCTACACGCTCTGTCGATATTTCTACTGGCAAGTCAGAAGTGCCTCTGTTGAGGAGCAAGCTTAGAAAGTCAAGTTGACTAAACGCTTCGTCAGCATCGGAATGCGTCAATTTCGAAAAGGACAATCGAGGGGCAAAGTGGACTAACCAGGCTCCCGTCAGACCATCTACCAAACCATTAATTCGATCTCCGGTGACACAACCGTTGGCCATGATCTCTTCGGCGACATCGACATCAACTGCTTCCAAAGCGGCTAACGCGTTACTCTGCAGCTGAATGGGTCCTCTGTACTGACCCTCACCCTTAATTGCACTCAAATCCCGCTCGAATACCTTCACATCTATCCCCTTCTTCTTGGCTGCGAGAGCAAGCACCAGACCTCCGATACCTCCTCCGGCAATAATCAGTCTGAGAGGACGAGTGGGGTTGCCACTGACCAGTTTGCTAATTTGGTCGGAATACTTGAACGAGGATTCTAACGAGGCTTGAGAGTCAGCTGCGGTGCTAAAATTCGCCGTAGAGACTTCTTGCACGGCCTCTGCCCTGACGGTAGAACTCACGACTTTTTTCAACTTCAACGCGCCGTCCTTACTCCTCAACCTTTGCCCCACAAACGCGTCCGACCTCAAAGAATTCTCCACATGCCCACATCTACAACTGCTTGCGGGCCGTGCCAATTTGAGGCTCTCGGAATCCGACAATTTCCCACTGTGTCCACCACCGACTAAACATTGAAGGCGGGAGGATGAGAGTGCAACTCTCGCCGCCATGACGGCAACAATACTCAGAACCAAAGCCCGGATTTTACGATTGCAGCTGCTCCTCAATTAGAGTCTCGAGAAGCTGATTTTCCGACAGGGGCGTGATTTTGCTCGTGGCTCGCATCCACCGCTCACAGACCTTTAAACCAGCGAGCGGTTTTCAGACTGAAACGCAACCTCGTTGCTGATCGAAACTACGGGCCTATAATATACACAAGTATGGAATCTCCTGCTGCGTTGCAATTATAAGTGCCCAGGAAGTGGGATACGAGAGATCAGACACAGTTGCGAATATCTATGTTTGTGGTCCAAATCTCTCTGCTGGAAGCTGCGTGGCTGACACCTCGACCTCAGATCTTCGAAACCATTCGTGATACCCTTGTCTGCGATGACTGAGATGGAAAGATATAATATGGCAGTCGAATATAGCCATGCCACGTGTTAAAAAGTTCACGGACGGGAAGCCCAAACTCATCCGCTCGAAGTGTCATGCTTGCGTTGCCCAATGGCCAGCCAGTCAGACCCCAGCGTTTCCTGGTAGCCCTGGCCTTGAACGGGGCTTTCGTCTTTTAGACGGCAATGGACGAATGAGCAGCAAGCACGTTTTCACATTGTCCGTCATGTGCCCATAGTACCTTCAAGGGCTGACTAATTTGTCCTGTTGCTACAGATGGAAGTAACCGGTTCTAAGTGGATAATACCACAATACTCCATCAGCCCGAACATGAATGAAACTAATAAACTATTGTATCTCTCGTAGTAAAATTTATATTCATAGTTTTCGGTTTTATATAAAATAGGCCAATGTTAAAAATATCATATTGAAACCAGAGATGAATCTTATGTTTGCACACAAGGTCAAGTATCAACTGCCAATTTATTTCTGGAGTCAATTTCCACACTCCTTGTTACAAACACAATCATTCTTACGTTTTTGAAGCTTGTCAAAGTACCTCGCATAACAGGTGACGCGTCTGTGATCGTTTTAACGCGAGATGTGGTCGCTGTAAAATATTGTATAAATATATATAATATCTGTTTATTATATGTTATATGTTAAATATTTAAAACATATTGATGAGACTATAGAATAACCAACAAATGAAATTAAAATATTCATTATGTCAGTTTTGATCTTATCTCTTACGAACATGTTCAAATCTCTGTATGACTTAATGTAATTTCAATGCTAGGAAATAAAAGTATGAAAAATTTAAAAACATGTAATTGAAACTTCAGCTGCTGCATCTTCACTTATCACATATCATGTCTATCATAGTTCATGATATCTTTCGTAAAGATGATTATGAACCTAATGGAAGTTGATATCATTTTATGTGAGAATCTACCTACTAATTTTCAATCAATTTTACAGTTTAAGAAATCATTTTCACTCATATCTACCAAGGGTTGTAATAAATTTCCAAACAAAAATCTATTATTATCCAAGTAATAATTTCAAGATCAATTGGTAATAATAAAATTTAATCAAATTTTCTATGTTTTAATAATAATTTTAAGGCTATTATTCAAGTTTTGGAAAAAAAATCACTCTATAACAACCTATTAGCAAACTTGCTAGAATAATTTTTACATTCTTGTATATGAAAAATCACTAATTTACCTAATGAATTAATGATGTTGTACGATTGGAGAATATATGGATGTAACTCGACAGTTGTTATTGCTTGAAAGGTTAGCAGTTTATTTCTTTTGAGGTTCTTTTAAGATTTTTATACAGGTAGATGTAGAAGTAAAAGATTTAAATAAATAATGACAAAAATATAAACATTTCCAATATTGCTTGATTCAATGACATAAAATATCAAATGTTTATATGAAACATAGTTTAAAAGACAAAAACAAAAAAAAAAAAAGTTTTTTTACTAGAATCAAGTTATCATTTGAAAAAAACTCTTAGTTGTAATCATCAAGGTGTTAGGTTGATTCGCATCTTATTAAGCATTAGTTAGTCTAGTCATAGTTAGGCTTGGATTTTACTTAGACTCAGGTATACTTAATCCGAGTACAAGTAAGTCTCTGTTTGGTTTTAGATGTACGCCACAGTGAAGAGATAAGGGAGAACTTGGATATGAAGACATGATGTACAACTTTTCTTTAGTGAAACTTTTAATCTTGGTTGTGGACATAACCTCATGTGGAGATGAAACACATATGTATGAGCTTGTCTGAAGAATATCGTTGAGATTCAACATAATCAAATAAATTTAAAAATTGTGTTAGTGAGAAAAAAATATAAACAGACATTCAAAATCATTATACATTGTATACAAAAATGTCTGATGAATGTTTTTATCCATCATAAAAATTGATTACTTGATAATTAATTTCAATTTGATAATGAGTGTGCTTTCTTTAGATTTGTCAAAATCAAAAAACTCAAGAAAAGAATGATAAATTTTTTTTCCGTTTGTTGCTCAAACCAAGATAATCAATGAATCAGTTGAAGATAACATATTTCTAAATAGCAAGAAAGTTATGTTAGTGAAAAATTTGAATTATTGAATATAATTAAATTTGAAAATTATGATCATTTTTTTTTGATGTGATTTAGAATATCATTATTATCTTGTGATATGTATGTCTTCTAGTTGTTCATCCTAGAGCTAGATTAGTTAAAAATACACCTTTATAGTTAAGGAAAATTTAAACTATTAAATTAAAGCGTAATAATGATCATCGTATCCAATATCTTTTTGTATAGAAACTGATAATCATGCATTATCTCTAAATGATATCTAATCAGATACAAATAGAAAAAGATTTTTTTTTCGAAATTTTATATCATTTGAGATTTATTCTTATCTTCAGAATTAAATGTTACAATTATTTCAATACAAGCTAATTGAACAAAATTTCGTTTTATTTTTTCTTTTATTCAATTAAGATTAACCATTAACTACATAATAGTGTTTCTATTGGTTTAGTTAGCTTTTTCGGAAAATATATTTCTTCATTCACATCTTTAAAAAAAGCTTATGGCTGCAGTTTGTGACAAAATTTGTTTGTAAGTCTAGTTATTATTAAGATTTACACGTTGTGTTATTCCATCAATTCATATGTGACAATTACTTTACTATTTTCATAAATTTCCAATCTTTATTAAAGTTTTGTTGACAAATTCTTTAACATGAAACTTTTTTTCCCATATTTTACTTAAGATAAATCTTTATTGCATGTTGCATCCCACCATACATCACTATCACATCCAACATCAATATACACACTATCATACACCAACATAATTATATCACTACAATATTTTTAACTCCCAAATCGATCATCAATACACGAAGATGAACACTGTCACATAAATGATTACATTAGAACCACATCTATTTTGTGCCTCAAATACTTCAACTTCTTGCACTACTCAAGGTGCAACTTGAAAAACTGAAACCCCAAAAGCCCTAATTAAACTTAATCCTCTGAGCTCTAGCTCTCCAAACAGTGCTATGGACTCTACAGGCAGGTTTGCACTCAACGTGAGATGAGATATTTATCAATAACCATTTCCATATTCCTTCAATGTCGTAAACTTTATTCTCATGCATCGAATTTTTCACGCACATGGAAAAATGGCAGGTAGTTCACATTAGACTTCTAATTGGTCACCGTGTTTCCACATCATTCAGCCATAGACATGAATAGCAGCGAGTTCTATCGTTGAGGAATGATGGCTCGATTGCCCTCATTCCATGCTTAATGGGGGGCCCTTATTTTATAGACGGAAAGGTCTCTCGGTCGACGGAGACGAAGATGCTGTTCCAGTGTTTGATTCATCATACTTTATGTTACTTCGATCCAGCAAAAGAAAAAGTTTCAGAAGAAGTTTGTTCATTGAATTGACGAATCACAAAAAAATTAGAACGTGTATTTCAAAACTATCGACAGGGCTCTGACCTATACACAATCCTAGTCACGGGGCTACCAAATCCTGCACGCGGATTGTGAAAATTCAGTACTGGATCACAAATCTCCCCGTGGAGATTCTTCTATTTACCGGAGCTTACGGCGATGCACATGGCGCAAGGATCTTTGTTGCTTGCGTTACTGTCCTACCATCATCGCAGCGGTACTTTGAGAACGGGGCTTAAGGTTTTGGATGGGGTTGACGCAGTTCAGAGTCTCCCAATTATACAAAACTACTTACACAGGATTTTGGGGGTACGGGTTTTGTGCCTAGATGGAAATGCTCCAAGGGACTCCTTTCCCGGTCACTCCGCGCCCCGACGTCGGGTACATGAGGGTGTACCCAGGAGTCTCGAGAGCACCTCGTCTGTTCTGCAGCTGCGAGTCGGCGTTCCTCTCCTCGATCTTCCTCGCGATTTCTCTCACTTGATCGGCGTACTTCTCAAACACCGCCTTCACTGCAGGATCGGAGGTCCAGTTGGTCTCGTTCCTCGAGCCGATGTATTCCTCGGTTTCGGCGTGGTTTGAGAGAACCATCATTGTGGTCATGATCGTCACGGCCTGCTGGGGGCTGGCGGTAGTTTTCAGGACATATCGCTCGAAATTGAATAGCATTTCTTTGTACTCGCGGGTGTTCGGCTCGGGAATCAGCTCGCGGGTCAAGGGAGGGTAGTTGAGCGTGAACCCTCCGTAGGCGTACTGGCCGAAATTGACCGGAGAATGGCTGATACCAATCCAGAGGATGGTGGCTAAAATGTCCACGAGGCTCTCCTTGGTTTGGCAAGATGGCCACCACGGTTCATCTTTCTTGTCACCATGACCTACCTCCCTGATCTCCTTCCACCACGCCTCCAGCTCCACATCTTCCCGCACTTGCTCGTCGCATGAATAGAACAGATTCACGTAATTGCTTACATACTCTTTGGTTGTGTTCCATACATCCAGCGCGTCCTTGGCAAATGGGTAGTCTTCGAACACGAGCTTGACACCTCCTGGCTCATTGCAGTCGGGCTCTGCCATTCCTCTGCAAAGTTGCAGTGCAACTAGTATTTAGAAACTTGAGACATGACACATGAATGAAAAGGAGCACCAACAGCTGAGCACGGTGGAAGGTCGAAGTGTGCAGATTTGATTGTTTTCCAAACATGTTTGGACATGGAGACTTAGTCTACCATTCTATGCTCCACCTTAGCACTAAGTGATTGAAGTTAGATACCTGTCGAGCAGATCCTCTGGTAGAGCGATCTTGTCGAAGCGCCACAATTTGTCATACGCCACAGAGTTCATCTCCATGTTGTAACGTCCTGGGGTGAAGCTTGATTCGAGCGATCCAATTGGTGCGGCGTTTATCAAAGTGGAACGGGCGTTGGCGTTGATGCGCATTGTGTTCGTCCAGCATGGAGAAAGGAGCACAGAGATGGGGTGCATTGCACTGAGCTGTCTGTTACTGGCTAAAAGAAATGGCTCCATGACAGCATGAGTTTTTAACCTGTAACAGACGGGTCCAAAAACACAGCCGACTGTCAGTGCATCTTCATCAACTTTTGGTCCATAACACGAATCTTAGTCCAAACATTACCTGCAGCCTTCCCTAGGGTTTGTGTCTAAATCGAAACGTAGACACGTTCATCCCCATAGTTTACATTCTTGCCACATTTGGTACTTAGATGGAAGACCCTCCTGACTCAGGTGTGCTTCAACCTCGTCACTGAAGTCTGTTTGAATTTAGACGAGGATTTTCTCAATGACTACGTAATGAATGCCCAATGATCAGATACTCCTGTAGACAAGAGCTCTCTCTCAATACTTGCTGATAATGTTGCACGCCACTTACCAGTGAGAAATGAGCCCATGGAAACCAAAGTTTACGGAGCTGAAGTGAAATTTTGCCAAACTCCATGTAAAACTGAAATCGTTTTCTTCCTTGGGTGGGGTAAAGACCCTGTTGTAAGATCCCTTCTGGCCTTCTTGAGGAGGTAAGGAGAGCTCGATAGCCACTGGCTTCAGCTTGTTGTCATCTGTCAAGAAGAATATGACGCGAGGTGCGTATATACGCCTCTTCGACTTCGTGATTGTTTGTGTGCTGATCTTGGTCACGTAGGGGAGGTAGATGTCTCGGTAGTCGATTGTGAACAGCCTTTTTGCGCTTTGAGCCTGAAGTCATCCACCAGATAATCACGACGGGTTAAATAGATACAGCACAAGCGATATATGCGATATGAAACAACTATGTCGGCTGAGCCTCACTCTAGCCTTCAACCGTAAGTCTCGAAATTTAGTGTACAGAGCGGACGGACTTTTATCCCAACATTCAAACTCACATGGCATTGAACGAACAAGAAAAGTACCTCTGACGCTGTCAGCATCTTGCCATGGGAAGAGAGGTATGGTTCTATGTGCTCTGCAGTGAGAGCAGTGGCTGGACCGTAGACCTCTTCGGGAAGCTCGCTTGTAGGTGGAAACTGTTAATGAAGAAGAAAACAGGACAAATGTAAGCATATAACATCTTGCGAGGTTCCATTACTGCTAGATCGAATTAAACTTATTACTATATGTTTCCAAGGACCTTGAATTTTGAAGGCACTTATCAGAAAGTCGACTGAACGGAAACGAAGAAAGTCGGATCAATGCTTGAATCGTCTGACCTGTGCTCTCCTTATGACCGACGGATTTGGACCAGCGAGGGCTTGACGAGCAAACTCTTCGTCGTTCGTCCAAGCGAAGGGGTCATCTGTTGGTATAGAAGTAGTCGTTTAGATATCAAGAAAATTCAGTCGATCGGACCGTAATCAATTGCGAACTGTAAACTTCCTCAGCCTCCAGGGGATGTATGGATATTGCAACTACAGTTGATCAGGGACTTGTCTAAATCAAACTTACCTTGAAGGAGTTGCGGAATCGGATACTGAATAACGTCGAAGTTGCCATTAGGAACGCCGCCAGTGGCCTTGTACAAATGCGATTCCAGGAAGTTGTGAACAGCTTCAATGTCCTTCTCGCTCGGTTGGAGAGCTGGACTTTTCGGGAAGATATCTAATCCTTTGTTGTACAGGTTGTACACCTCCTTAAAGGTGTCGAAATCATCTGGAGTCTCATCGAATTTTTCTCGAAGAATGGGTAACAAAGTTGCTCTGAGCCCGATTAGACCGTCAGTATTAAAATCCTTGGTCTTTGATCCGTTCCAATCCTCATCTCGGGGAATGTAACTCTTAGCTCCAGTTGGAGGAAGTACCTCCATGCCGCTCTCTGATCCAGCCAACGACAATCTCAATTACTTTGGACTTACGATAGAAAAGTAAAATATTGTTCGAGCTAAAAGGAATGATTAATGTGACGAATTCAAGATTCAAGATTCTAAATTAATAGGTCCAAGAGGTGACGGCATTTAAACTGTAGGAAAACTACAGTAGTGAACGGAATATACTGAATTAAAACGTATTCTGAGTTCAGTTGGTGAGTGGAACAAGTTCCTCTCACCGGTGAGAAAATTGTTATCTAGTGAAACTTCATCATGTGGACTCATCTGCAGAATAGTGCAGCAAAGGGACTAAGTATCTCACGAAAATCATGATCTGTGGAGAATTCCTCATCGCTCACCTGGATCGATCTTTCGGCCTGTTCTGCATCTTCGAGGATAAGGTCTCTCAGGACCACCCAAAGTCGGGCGTTCGGCCACACCGACGATACCCAAATCGTTGTAGACGTCATAGTCATAAATCCGATCGGCAACTTGTCTTTCTCCGGTGCCATCTCCTCGTAGATGTTCCATCTCCAGAGTCCTCAATTTCTGAAGCCCTGGGGGCGTGTCACTGGGAAGATAAACCTGCCGCAGTAACGAACGTCAATAAAGACAACGTGAAAGGAGTGCTCCAAACGACTTGTTATGTGAATCTAGAAGTCGGCCTTATTTCCAGACTGGAAAGTTGCAATGCTCATGAGTCTAGCTAGATAAATGGATCGGCACCAAACGTCAGAGAGGTGCAGAAAAATGTACATGACCCACAAGTTCTGAGACTGCGGTTTCCGAGAGAGATGGTGCATGAGATCATTCTCACCTTGTTAGTAAAGAATATGCGATCAGTGTCGGATATCTGATTGTCGATCTTCGGTGTGCTGGTAGGCTTCTTCTGATTTATGTAAGAATTGCAGGCGAATTCGTACTCCGTGCTCGAGTCAGGAGAGTTCAGAGTTAGGGACTGAAGATAGAATTCCTCGCTATTGCTACTGTCCACAAGTAACGCACCAGGCTCTCCGAAATCACGTGGTACAGAGAACGAGATTACATAGCTACCATCCTCCAAATCCAGGGCCTTCCAGCTCTCTTCGAGTTGAGTCCTTGCACTCAACTTCAACTTTCCCTCCCCTGTTTCCAGCAATGCCAACCAGTTTCACGTTTATGAATCAATTGTCCTGTTATAAATATCAAGTGCAAACTGCAAGTAATGCAAACACGCCGATCATTTATGATCTTTCAAACAAACCAAGCTCGCTTATGCATTAACCAAGTCGATATTTCTTGAATCAGCAAGTGAGCTGACTTACCATCAACAAGTGTGCTGACGAGTGTGAACGCAACATTCTTCTGGAAGACAGGGAATTCGATCGAAGGTGGGCTTCCCGCTGGGCCTATCAAACGAGAAAGTTGGAACTTGCCCTTCAGGGATACAGCGTTTGGATCTGCTGGACCCGTTTTGCGTACAGTCTGAGTCGAGCTGCTATATTGATTGAGCTCCGCCTGCAGCTTCAAACCCGTGGTTCTACCTTCCGCATTGCACTTCAGGCGTCTGCTGGTGATCGCTACAGTATTGTTCAGAGACTTTCCGCTGATCGAAGAGAATTTCGCACCCAAGTTCTGAGATTTCACTGCTACAGCTTTACCAGTTGCTTGTACACACGAAGACGTGACGCCTGAATTAGAAGATGCCACCACGCTCTGTAGTCTGCTCGCTGTGTGTAAATCCATCTTCAGATAAATCTGAAATCACGTGGACTGATTTTGCTGGATCCTGCAGAAACAGAAGGCACTTTTGAGATAGAGAAGAATCTAACGCGGCACTAAGTGTACAAACAGTTCGCTCGATTTTTGAAAGGCCCGAACTAAAATTATTTTCTCAGTATGGCAGAAGCTCTTCTTTGAACGGATCCAAACTGCATGAACCTATCTGAGAGGATCCAAACTGCATGAGCACATCTGAAAGTACGCCATCTGGCCATGCATTCAATATGTTCCACAGAACTTCTGACTAACCCGTCGTTGAAGAAATCCTTGAGTTAATGACTAATGCTGTAGACTTTACAGAATCTCGAGGCAGATGTCTGGCGATTCTAGCGCTTCAGCTAACGAATGATGTTTTGAAAAAAATGACATACAGATATGCAAATTTGAACTCAGCACATATATACACAACGGATGTAAAGTACAAACGCTAACATGGGTCGGTTGACTACTGGTGCTATGAAGTAAGCCAGTCATGAGATAATGTTAATGATTCTACCAACAATCGATGCTTCAACTCGTACCAGGAAAAGACTGACTGACCTCTCCTGATCGTCTCGGTGCTTCGGTCGCTGCTGATCTGCTGCTCGATCGCTGCTGCTGATCGAGCTGGAAATGTCTCAAGGTTCTCCTTATCCGTTTATGCAATTCCGTCGTGTCCGAATCGTCCCTCTGATTAAGCTCTATATGAGGTAGTTTGAAAGTCACATGGAACGGAATGGAGGACCACCGAGCTATTTATACTGCCAAATGTCCAAATTCTTGCAGTTTCTCGTGGATGCTTTAGAATGTGGGTTTCGTAGGTGATAGAGCAATAGAGTGAAGATAAGTGCACGGTTCGGTGAATAGCTACGATTTCACCGGCTTCATGACTGCTCGCATGGTCTGACCGATTGGAAGTACAGAATCCACACTCTGGAATCTTGTTAGAATATCTCCAATCAACGATTTGCATCCCTTTGACGGACGTAACGAAGACATTCTACGGCTGAGCTGGTTTTGTCAGCATTAAGTCGATCAATTCAGTTCAGCTTGGGTTAAGTGTCACGCGACCTGAAAACCTCCATCTAAAGCTATTTCAGCCAATCGAACTCGGTCTTCTTTAGCTGGATCATCTGGGTTTTGAAGACCCTGCCACCATTGTACAGGACTGCACTTTGCATTGACCAGCAGTGACAAGCATACGAATTTACTATTAGCCTTGGAGCATATCATCATTAAGAGTCTCGGAGTAAGGGGTACTGGACCTGTCAGAAAGCCGACACAAGTTGCAGTTCACAGACAGCTACGAGTCTACCACTTACAGTATATCGTCACATTACCACCGTTATCGGTCACCATGCTAGTCATCAAGTAGACTCCCTGGGGTGTCCGAGTTCGAAGTGAGAAACACTTTCGTGGCGAGTAGGGCAAATCTGCAGCAAACCTCCTGAACGCCAGACTGAGGTAGACATAGAAAAGAGAAGTCTGAGAGGCCAAGAAGGGCTATCACAGTGAGAAAAGTCTGAATAGTGATTTCCTAGTGAATATTTTCGTCCAAGAATGATTTCTCAAGCCTAGTATTTTATACGGCCAGATTTGAATGCTTTGCTTTTTCAACTGGAACTGTGGAGAGCCACATGGATTACAAAAACTAAGGTAAGGCACCATCAAATATTGCTATGATGAACCATGGTATTCCAAGAATTTCCCTAAAAAAATCTTCAGCTTTATAACATAACTGAATCTTTTGGAAGAAGGGCTATGCTTATCTGAACCTCGAAATTGTCAAAAAATCTAAAAATATCTGTTAGCAACCCAAGCAATGATTTGCGGGGATGAACTTCGCACAAGAGTATATTTTCCACCAACTCCACCAAGTTCGTAATGTACTTTAAATTCGCTTTACCTCAGACCGATAGTAAGTATAGTATTATATTCCAAGGCTTTCCAATCCCAAAAGTGCAGCCACTGCAGCCTCCGATCACACCTATATGCACGAGTCTCGACTGAAGTAGCTGGCTGCGGTCAAATGCAATGCTGACTTGGATTCATGCTATTGGGGTCAAGCGACATCTTACACGGTTGCCTTCGGCCACGACGGGGTCTTCCCATTCTATATTGTCATTTACCTTTGTATCCAGTCGATATCCATGCAAGCAAGGTGCTCATTGCCCTCAGCACACGAAGCTGCAACCCAATGATGCTTCATGCTTTGCCTTCACTTCTGTATGATATTCGACGGCTTCTTACGCTCGTTCGGACTTCGCGTGAACGAGCGGAGGCCAGAGTCAATTCTGACCTTGAGGGTAAAGACCTGGATCGAACGGTGAACGTGGACCCGCGCGGTTGATCGCATGGTGGTCTGAGATGGAACATGGACCATCCTGAGGTGGTCAAATGGAGACAGGGTCGGGCAGTCAGGGCGAGGTGCCCAGTTTCACAGGACAACTGACAACGTCAACTGAATGTGAAGAGCTGCTGAAGGTGGTGGCACGGACCTACAATGCCCTTGGAATCCAGGCAGTAGTAGACGCTGTGAGTCTCCATACCTGCTGAGTCAACAATGTTCGAAGTCAAATGCTTCAGTGGACCTTGATCCTCTTCGAAGTATGTACATGTGCAAAGCATGCTGCTGGCAAACTTCTTCTGGATACTTGTAGCCTAAGGATCTGAACGCGGAATATGTCAATAACCTACAACCTGAGGCAGATATATATGTGCCTCAAATTGCACACCAACATATCTCTGAAAAGATGGGAAATGACCATGATAGCTAATCACCTGGCATGCCTAAAATAGGCTATCGTAGTCCGCGCCGCATAACTCACCTAAATATTCGCCACGTTGCGCTTAAGTTAATTATTCGTGTCATGGGTATGTGTGTGCTTTATTTTTGTACCTTGTCTAATGTTTTATTTCTGCTGAACATGATGCTGTGACATACGAGTGCGATTGTTTGGGATATCAACTATTGACAATGACACCCAATACATGTCTAGCATGTATTGGGTGTCACTTGTGAATCCCATTGCATTTCGAGTAGGTTTGCTGGGCACTGGGACCTACTTCCAAATGTCTCTCTTCCAAATGTCTACTTCCAAATGGATTGTTGTCTCTTTCTCACATTTGGATATACGAGCTGACATGCTGGTAATTAGAAATTTTGAGGAAGAGATTCTTTATTCACTACTTCAGAAGCTTGATATCCTCAACTAATTCAAGAAAAGTATTCTAAGAGTATCCACCGAGAGCTACAGCTGTTGCCGCTGGCTTGATCAATTTACATTTCTCTCTTTGATCTCCTCATCATTAGGACAGAAGCTTTTTTAAATTCTTTATGCTCCACTGGGTCATCAGACTTCCATGTACACCTTGAGTCTATCCACAAGATATCTCAGATACCTTGTGTATGCTTTATTTCTGTTAAATAAAGCATTAATCTGGCCCCCACCTAAACTAATTATTTCTGATGCGCCTAAATTTAGGTAATTGAGACTATTGTCCAATATAAAAATTCCTGATAATCATACATCCTTCACTTGTCACGTGTGCTATCTGTAACCACAAGTCCTACATGCTCCCAAAGGCAGAAGGTAATTTCCATACAAGTTTAGATCTACAATGACATAAGTACCAAAGTGCATGGGAGAAGAAGGCATAATTTTATTCATTTCATGTGGAGTATGAGAACTCTCTTGCCATGCAAAAGTTTCATATCTATGGACTTCTTAATTAGTTATAATTTATAACTCAAAACTATATGAATCATATTAATCTCATTCATGTCTTAAAATAAAGCTTGTTCAAGTTGGAGAGATGGATGATTCAAGCCAATATTTCCAACCCTTGACTAGGCAAAAAGTAAGACTTAGTGTATCTTAATATCTTTTTTAAACATGGTAGGATACACTAGTTTGATCTTAAGAATCCATTCAAATGTCATGTTTTTGTATCAACTTTGAGTAACTAGAAAATTGATGAGCAGAGAGTACAAAGAGATGAAATTATGCCAAATAGTCACATGCATGTCTGATGAAATCATATGACAATATTATCAAGCAAGAAGTGGATAAGATTATTGATCAGATCAATTAATGTTGAATTTAAATATATTTAAATGTGTCAAAAATATACCAAAGCACCTGTATGATATGCGGTACTCATACGCATTCTTGGTATTCCCTTGGTTAGAGAAGCAAGCATTGCATGCCATTTGCACCGAGTTGCTGGTGTGAGTAGGGATTTCAAGGGTATCAAGTTTGAAAGTACTACAGAACCTTACTCTATCTCCAATTTTCATATTATATATGCGAGAAACCTAGCAATAATTCAAAATTTTGGGAGGACAAGTAAGAAAGGAATAGAGTGGCAATAAGTCATCGAATCTTACCAATATTTAACAAAGAGCTAGCCCCATTAAATTCAAAATAGAAAATAAAACCCAATCCATGTAAGATATCAAAATTACCTAGCATGTTTATCTCATGGTTTGCTTCCTTGCAATAAAGTTTCAAGCGTTTGGTTGTAAAATATTTCCCTCGATCTCCCTTTTTTCTATTCTTTATATTATCCTAGCCCACGAGTGTACTGATTTTGATGTCGATTATTGACCTGCAGATTGTTAGAACAATGCGATTGGAGGCCAATGAAGAGGGTTTCTCAGTGAAACCCTCTTCACAAAGAATAATTCGATTGATCGAACACTATCATATCATAATAAAGTATTGTTAACAACGACGAGTTCACTGCTGGCACTTTCGGCGTTTTATGTCCCCTTCAGCAGCGGGGGACGTCAATGGCTTCCACATCGAAGTTACAGGCGCCTCAGTTACCAGCTGAGTCGCCTCTAACTGTAGATGCGTCCAACTGTATGACTTCCACTTAAACTGCATAACAACTTACGACCCCATGCGTCCGAGCTCCACCTCCTTCGTCGATGTTCAGTAAACGCCAGTAGTGTAGTGAACCCAGACAGCCGACCCGTGTTCGAGGCCGTGCCAACGACCATCTTCTCAAGAAGACGGCATATCAAAGTAGAGGCAAGAAAAGAGTACAGTCAAATGACGAAAAGGAAGGGACAAATTCTCACATTCTACATAAAGAAACCTAACAAATAAGATGAGGCTACGTAGTCACGGAGACGCAGAGAGAGGGAAGGCAAATTGAAATCACATCCTTCCGGAACTCTTCCATTGAATTAAATTTTATGATTAATAGTCTCCCTGTACTCTTGTTGAGATACGGCTTAAGTGTTGCTCAGTCCGACTTAGAAATCACGAGTAAATGCTATGAAGTTACATAAGATCTTGCTGTAATGCCTTAATCTGCAAAGCAAAGTTGATTATGCCGGACAGAGGAATGTATGGAAGCTCTGTGCCCCGGCAGCAATTCGGGCTAACTTAAAACAATAATCATGCTCGTCGAGAGAGACCAAAGGAGAACTGTGGCTCGCAGAAACCGTAATGTTTGCATATAAACCCATAGGCCTAGCGTATGACCCGAATAGCAATGAGGAAGATATTTTCACGAGATCCCGTCAACTAATATACCTTTCTCGGCCTTTTGGCGAAGATCAAGTGTAGTATCTGTTCTTATCAGTTTAACATCTGATACGAGGGTCATCGACTCTCACGATATTAATCTAATTTCTTTCACGGGTGCGAGTTCAATGGGACAGCTTGCTGCCTCGGACTCGCCAGCGTAGCCTCGGTATTGCACTATTTCCTTGCATGCGCAGCCCTTTCCTCTCAGAGGAAACCAATCAGCCCAATCAGGATTCTGTTGATGCCCATCTTCTGTGCATGCTGGAAAATTTGCCTGTACTTGGGAGTTAGTCTTCCTGACTAATGTGCAGATGTAGCCTGCTTGTATACACGGCCCGGTACATCGACTAACAAATTTCGGTGTTGAATGAAGCCGAGGAGAGAGATCAGGGTTGTCAAACGTATTAGCCTGTCCTGATGTGGAGTATCTCACGCTAACATGCTCTTTGTTTATTTGTTTTTTTTCGTTAGAGCTCGAACGCTTCGACTTTCGAATTTCCAACCGAACGATAATCCATGACTGAACTTCTTCCACGAACAGTACTCATGTCTTCTACTTCTCCAATATTCCGCTTCATAGGCTCAACTCTGCAACTTCAGTCCAGTGAATCATCGTGCATCGAATCTCAAAAGTAAGTTCAGTCTCACGTCTGGCTCGATGGTTTAGTTCACTCAGCATATCTTATCAGTTGTTCTTGAACTTTGAATACCCATCGAGCTTCCTTGCTTTCATTCCTGTAGATTTGATTCTTCAACATCAATGGTCCGTCTGTCGAGAAAAAAAGAGGAAAGCGAGTGGATTCAGTTGTGGCTCCATCAAGTTCTTGCATGGGACATCGTGGATAAACCCGCACTCCTAGAGGCGATACCGGGGGAGAATGAAAAGTTCAGTAGACCTATTTATAGTGACATTTGCATATTTCTCAGCCTTTTGACTAGATGCAAATGTAGTGTCTACTACGTCGACCTTCATGTTGATGTTAATGATATTTGATTCGAGGGCGAGGGCTGCTCGTAGCATTGGACTGTGAGATGTCGCATCTGTGATGCACCAACACCTTGGTCCGCCTACTGAACGGAAGAGCTATGATAGAAGTTTGACTTCGAAACCGGCCTTCACCATAGGGTCCAGAGGAGAACAAGTAGCACGGGAGCCAGGGCTTCCGGTGGTGCAGAAGTATTGACCTTGAACGGAAATTTTCTCAGAATTTTTCAGCCTCGGCCAATGTTTCAAGAGAATATCCTGTGGAGGAACCACTCAATCATAGCACATGTGGGAGGAATGTGGAAAAATTGCTGAATGCATTTTCGTCGTTCGAGACTTCTCTCTGGCGTGCGCTGATTTAAAAAAAAAACTGGGTGGTAAATTGGTGGAAGGAGCAGCCCACTTGAACAGCAAGCACTGAGCTCAATCACTGCAACATTTTTGAGTGAGATTGATCGAACTCCTCGCACCAGCCACCCACTGCAATGAAAAATGGAGCTCTAGAGCTCTCTTAAAAACAACGGTCCAATTCTAGAATGATGAGGTACTTAAAGACTTCATGTAAGTTCTGCAAAGATACTGCGCATATTCAAGTCGATCGGCGTGGACAAACACAGCAGGATAAACTTCTCTCTTTTAATGTAGAGTAAGTCGATCATCAAACTGATGAGAGGTTCCAAAATTCACATTGATGAAGAAAGCTCCATGTTGTGGCCATAAAAATGTGAATCCCCGTCCACTAGCTAATATATCTCGATCTACCCTTCCCGTCACATTGACAAATATACAAGTCGCGCTACAGAAAGATCATCTTATATCACAGAAGAGCACGGACATCGACCTGATGGTGATACCTAATCCTCAGGATTGGTAGCTTTGAGGATAAATCGACTATAGCTAATACAGAACAAAACAGCACTTCTACCGATGACTACATCCGTCGATTCATGGTGTAGGCAGATTAGAGGGAAATCGAGGAGGTCTCGGTCAGTCCTGTCTCAGAGCCGTCCTGAGTGTTACAGTAACCAGCTATGAGGTGCATCCACCAGAGTCAACAGACGCTCGGTGTCTCCTCTCCTGAACACTAATCTCCTTGGGATCAAAGCCTAGTTACTCAGTTTTATAGACAGCCCAGATGGGAGTATGCATTATGTAGTCTCCGGTGATTTCTGGCTCTTTAGAAGCCAGAATCACCGTCTGATTCTGATTAAAACTTGTGACGTCAGCTATCTGTTGTCGGGAGTAAGAGCTAAAAAAGTCACAGAGTTACTCTGGCTTACGGAAAGATGAAAGGAATATAGATGAGAGAATCCCCGTAAATCTGGAAAGACAACGTATACGTACGTATACCAAAATCATGAAACTTCTCGTAGTCGATCCAGGTTACCGTCCTTCTTGAACTTCGAAACCTTCCCCAAAAGCACGAAACATGAACGAACATACTCACAAGAGAGCTCATATTCACCATTCGCTGCTACTATAATGGACTCGGCAGAATTCTTGAGCATAATGTGATAGCTCATTAGCTTGCAAAAGATATCTTCTGCAAGCTAATGAGCTATCACATTATTTGCATGTCATGTCAATGAAAAGACATGAGATTCTCATTCACTTCGCATGTCATGTCAATGAAAATCCAAAAGTCCTAAGTTCATCTTGAGGGATTCAACGCAACAGTAAAATCAGTAGTAATCTGCAATAAGGATCAGATCTTGCATTTTGATATTTTAGTCCTAAGCCCAACGGCTTCTTGTTGGATAACTATGTGACCAAAGGCAATAACAATGTTCTTTGAGCGTAAACAATATATGTAGCACATGCCAAAATTGAAAAGTGTATAAAAACCAATCTTACTTGTAGTTCTCATACATTATGTTACTCGTTACATATATAATTGAGCACGAAACGCTATGAAGAGCGATTTTATCGCCCACATACATATTAAATAAAAAAAGAGGTGAAGAACCTTCTATCCCAAAAGTGATGAGAGGTTTTTCACTTAAACTACGAAATTTACCGTGGAATTTTAATGTGCTCCTTGAAAGATAATTGAATCTAAAGAATGATGGTAACATAAGTCAAGCGAAACAAATCTCCGCAAATATTATTGGAGAAACTATTCGATGTGTCTTTCCTTATCTCCGACATTCTACTAATATCTAGCACCTTAGGTGATATTCAATCATGATGTGACACTCAATGTAGGAGCACGAGTAACTAACGCGGGAGTCAAAATAGTGTCTTTGACAAAGGCAAAGGGTGTCAAAGGATTTACGAATCTCGTAATCTCAGGCTCTGCGACCAATTTATGATAATGAAATAATGACCAAATAATCTCTTGTTGTAAAGCCATCAAGTTACCTGCATAATATATGTAATGCTTGCGTATAACACTATCCCTCGCAAACCTTATCAGGGTATAAACCAGAAACCTTGATATCAACAAGAGGAGTTAAAACCATACAAGTTAGGTCAAGGGATGTAAAGCAATTTTACAATTAGAACCGAAGAAAGCAATGATAATAGATTGATGATAGTTGCAAAGCGTATCTAGAACTAATGGAGATGTATAACCAAAACATCACATAAACGCTTTATGATAAAGCCAATCGATAAAACAAGGACAGGACGCCAAGGATTTGAATGAATGCGTTTGGAGCTGATTGAGATATAAAACACTTAGAATCAGCGAATCCTTGATGTACCAATAAAGGTGGCCAGAGCTGCCTTGTCATGATCAAAACAACATGAGGGGTCATTGAAGGCTGATTGATTCATTTTCAAGAGCAGCAAACCTGTATTTAGACCAGATGCAGTTTTGGAATAAATATTGAGCGGATTGACCGAAAGGCATGAGCGCATGGTAATGGTAAATAAATCAAGCCCGATGGACCCAAAGGGTCAAAAGGCTAAATAACACAACACAAAGAATCCAACTCCAAACAAGGAGAGAACCAAAAGAAACCCCTAGCTAGTGTCTAAAGCACTAGAACGGTAACTAATAACATCCCTAATGTAACAACCTAAATCATAAGGTTCAAACTGAAGCAAAGAATAAAAATTCTCATCAACAACTTTATGAGCCACTCTAATCTCTACATACCTAATACAAGTAAGAAATACATGCTCTTCATCCTCAACTTTTTTTCCATCACATAGCATACAAATACGTTCACTCATATCAATGTTCAACCAACGCCCTTCTTCAATCCCAAGACTATGAGATACTGTTCTATGTCTAGCAATAATATGACGTAAAGAAGTAGATATCTCTGCAAGTAAGTATCCTTGCTCACAATAAACAAGCATAGGATTCACATGAAGTTGATAAAACTGCATCTTGGTGCCTCGTCTGCTCCACATAATGCTGAGAAATTCCTCCTTAATACGCTCGCGTAGGGCAATAGGTTGCAACTCCCAATCGAGTTCCGTCACATTCCACCTCAAAGACCAAGTCACCACATCTGCAAACCAACCCTTGGGACGTGTGGCACGCAAAGCTTCAAGAGGAAGTCGAGAAGCATCAAGAGATCTCACTCTTTTGACGTAAGTGATACTTAGAAAGAGAACTTCAGCCTCAAGAGGTAGACAACCTGTTTCCGCAAGAAGAATTGCATAAGAAGTTTGGGTCCTCACACCCAATTCTTATTGTAAGAAGATTTTTTGCACCCTCTCCAAACGCTTCCAACCTGTCTTCTTACAACCAGAACCTGTGTTCCATATAAGATAACGGGAAACACTAAGCTCCTGAATAAGAATTTCCTAAGACTTTAAGACACTAGATGAGCTCCTCTACATCTATTTAGCAATGAATATAGAGCTTTGAAACCAACTTCTACCCTCTTTTGCACACAAAGTGCCCAACTATAATCAGATGAGAAATCAATGCCCAAATATTTGTAACTTTTCACTTGTTCCAACTCTAATCCTTTGTAATAGAAAGAGAGCTTGGATCTAGTGCCCACAAGAATGACTTTGGACTTCTTCAAATTGACTTCCATCTGATTTTGAGTACAAAAGCTAGCCAAAGTGTCAAGGTGTTTCTGTAAACTAGTGGCATCACGTGCTAGTAATATGACATCATCTGCATACAAAAGAGCTTTGATGACAAAGCCTCCAAGTTTAGCACCTTCGCTATCACAATCCTCCAACCACCTTTCTATATCATCTATGAAAACTTCAAAGAGAGTAGGAGAGAGAGGACAACCTTGAATGACTCCAATGGTGCTGATAATCTCTTCGGTTTGAGAAGTGTTGATCTTGGCCCGAACTGAGTCGTATAATGTAGCCACCGCTGCTAAGAGATTTGATGGTACTCCAATGGTTTGCAATCTTTGCCATAAAAGCTCACAAGGTACTGTGTCAAAAGCTTTCTTGAAATCAATGAAGGCACAAAACAAAGCTTTTCCATTACCCTTGGATTTCTTCCATAGAACACGTAAAACCAAGATATGGTCTATAGTGTTGAATGTAGGACGAAAACCAGCTTGGAACCACGCTCTCTTCTGACAAGATTCAGCCCATGTGTTCAACTTTGACTCCACCAATTTCCCAAATAACTTGGCAAAAATACTACCCACCATGATAATGCGATAGTTTGTCACCAAGGTCTTGCTCCCAGATTTGTGAATAGGAACAATCTTCCGTAGAGACCAAGATGAAGGAAAGCCATGAATAGCAGCATCCTCTAACACTTTTGTGAGTATAGGCCCAATAGCATCTCCTCCCCACTTGATAAGTTCAATGGAAAGTCCATCCAAATTCTCACATTTACCATTTGCCAATTGTCTGAGTTGAGTCATCACTTCAACTTCTGAAAATAAGCCTGGATTTCCTTCACAATATGGCATAGATGCAACATTGAGAAAAAAATAAAGCTTTTCAACAAAAGAAATCAAAGACTTGGGATCAAGAGTAGGTTTAGAAGATCGTACTGCCAACCGCCTCCAAAAGGATTTGGGATTCTCCAAGAGCTCCTTTGTCAAACACTCTTGCTTCTGCCTCAAAAATGCTCGTTTCTTGGACTTCACCAAGTCTTTGTAAAGTTTTGTCATAATCAACCGATTGTGAAGATCCAAGGATTTATCAAGTGATCTCGCACTCGCTTGCTTGCAATCAAAGTCAAACCATCCATTGCAAGGAAGACCTCTAGCTCTCTTGGTCTTATGTCTCAAAAAGAACTTAGAAGCAGAGTTTTGGAGCAACTCAGTTAGTTGCAAACTAGATGTATGTGGATCAAGGCTCCAAGTAGTACAAGTCAAGAGGTCTTGGAAATGTTCACTATAAAGTTGCTTCTTACTAGTATCTAAACAAAACTTGGGGGAAGTAGAAACATAGTGACATGTAGGGAGAGGGATTGACGTTGACAACAAAAGAGTAAATAAAAGAGGTGTATGATCTGATTCTGGTTGAGGCTCTAGAATATCAAACGCTGAGATAAATGAACTATTAGTGGCAGAGGACAAAAGATAATCTATAGTGCTAAGACCACTAGAGGAAAAACATGTATTGGAGTGAGAGTTGGGAAAGAAAGAAACACCATTGAGAACTTTCAGATTACAAATGACTCTAAAAGTCAAGAAATGCTCAGTCAAATCATTTGTACAAGAATCACAAAAGACTCTAGACCACAAACTATCTCTACTTTCTTCAAAAGAGTGAGAAGACAAATAACTATCAAATTGTGTAAATTGAGCGGAACGTATGCGGGCATTGAAGTCTCCAACAAGAAAAACTTCACCTTTGTCTTGATATTTGAGAACATCTCCTATGAGCCGATAGAATGGTTGACTTCGATTGCAAGTGCTTGTGGAGTAGATCTGCATGAATAATGGTGCAAAGTAACAAACTGCCAAATAACTGTAAGATCCTCCAATCAATCCAAGACGAAGTCAATGATATTGTTTCCCAATATCTTGGCTTTCCAAATGTATCATAGGAAGAAGTTCAGATCTGATGAAAGTAGCAATGACTCCAAAGCCTCTTCCTGCTCGTCCATTTCTATGGTTCCAAGTAGATCCCACCAGAGTAAACTCTTGTATCTCTCCAATAACATTACTTTCATGCTCCCAAGTCTCAACAATGTTGAGGATGTCCGCCATCTTCCAAATCGGATGCGCAATCACATACTTAGTTGTAGATAGGACTCTTATGTTCCATATCAACACCCTCAACCTCTTGGATTGCTAGGTTGATGATTGTCTCCTCCTCTTGGTGATAATAGCTTGATTATCACGTAGATAAGCTACAAAACCTGCATCTTGAGCTTCTTTGACTTTTGCAAGCTCCTTCCTCCTTGTTTCAACTTGAAGAGGTGTAAGATCTGGATCTAACCAAATCCTCCATCCCTTGAGAATGGCCTTGTTAGCTAAAGCCATATCACGTTTAGCTTGATCCACAAACTTAACAATAATGGCACGAGGTTGTGCGCCTTTGTTGCCAATACGATAAGCTTGAGCCAAATCCGGATTAGGAACATCAAGTGTTTCAGTCAAGAACTTGGTGACCACACTCTTCACCTCTTCCTTCTCAGATTCAGGTAGATCCGAAATCCTCACATTCTTCATACGAGCAAATTGATTAGTCTTTTCAATCTCTTGCTCTCGACAGAAAGAGATATGAGCAGACTTGGTAGCTTCAGCATAGGACTTCATTATCACCTTTACAGTTTCAACCACTTCATGCAAAGCAGGAGTAGTAACAGTAGAAGCTTGAGAACCAACATTGTCTTGAATGTCCTCAACAGATCCAGAGATTTGGAGCATGATCTTCTCAAAACTTTTGTGAGAAATCTTCAACTCCCGGATTTCATTTTTTGCAGCAGCCAAGTCAACATTTTGTGCCTTGAATTCTTGGCGTAGCACTTTCATTTCCTCCAAAACCGTTTGCACGAGATTGAGAAGTTTGTTTTCAAAATCCATCATGAACTCAACTTTGCAAGATGTTACACAAACTCAAAGTTTCAAAATGACAACTTCTTGACAGCAGCTCCGTTGAGGCTGAAAATTTGCAGGTATGTGCGCCCGGCCGTTGTGAACAAGCCCATCAAATCTCAGCTCCTGTTGACACTTGAGCAAGAAGATATGGCCCCCGCAAGATTCATGCTCAAACCCCTAAACTCAAAGTTTCGAAATGACAACTTCTTGACAGCAGCTCCGTTGAGGCTGAAAATTTGCAATTATGTGCGCCAGGCCGTTGTGAACAAGCACATCAAATCTCAACTCCTGTTGATACTCCAGTAAGAAGATATGGCTCCCGCAAGATTCATACTCAAACCCCTGAACTCAAAGTTTCGAAATGACAACTTCTTGACAGCAGCTACGTTGAGGTTGTAAATTTGCAAGTATGTGCGCCCGACCGTCGTGAACAAGCCCACCAAATCTGAGCTCCTGTTGACACTCCAGCAAGAAGATATCGACTCCGCAAGATTCATGCTCAAACCCCTAAACTCAATAATATCCGTTCAAAGTCAAACCCCTAAACTCATGAAGCTAAGGCCTTCTAACATGAACCATATGTGCATCATGATCCGAGAAAATCATAGTATACACATAAAACTTCTGTTTCCACTGAGACACAATTCCCAAAGAAACAAGAGGAGAGGGATGGATCGTACCAGACAACCGAACATTTGATTAAGCATGTACACTACACAATCACAATAAACGCTTTCGCCATCTCCCAAAGGTTCCATCGAACCCAGGTGCCAATGTTACTCTGGAAGCCGAGAGCGTCTACTAAAGCTGCTGTGATAGGACTGTCGCCGTTGAAATACGAGACTTCGTCGCATAGAAATAATGAAGCTAGCACTTTGGTCAGACATACTGGCACAAAGAATAATACTTAATCTGCAATCAGAATACCCGTTGACCTCACAGGTAGGCGTGTCCATCCAGTACCCAAATACGTGAACAGCGTCCTGGTCGCAGGTTTCAAATTTGTCCTCACAACCTTGACCCTCTTCCACAGGTGTTGTTTCTCCCTTCGAGAAAGAGGTTATTGTTAGCTTGTCTGAAAGGATTCTTCCACCTCCCTCCACGTTTCCAAGCATCAGATTTTACTTTATCACTGCCTGGACCAAATCTTGAGGCCTGCACAAGGTCTGGAGAAACTTAAGGCGACCTTGGTCTGAGATTGTATCTACTCCATCCAATTTCTGTCCTGTCCAAAAATAATATGAAATGAAGATGTTACAGGATCCGGATAATTGAATTAGAGATCTGCTTTTTGTTTTGAAGGACCCATTCGACTGTAAGAGATATGGCGAATATTTGAAGGAGAAAGAGCCTTGCAGGAAGAATGTGATGCAAATATCCAAGAGCCGGCTTCGCTCAAATGTCGTACTGACAGTGTTCAAAACAAGTATTATGAAACTGTCCATTATGAAACTGTCCATTGTTTTAACAATGTTTAATAACTAATAAAAACAAATATCTCTACAGAGTGAGATAAGATTATTAGAGAAGTGTTCAATAGTCACATGATATAAAGTTGTATCATTGTTACTTTTACAGGATCAGGGTACAAGAATTTGCACCAAGCCGAATATACGGCACATACGACTCTACGTTGACTTACTTACCGAGTCTTTTGGTCGCAAAATCTATGACTATTCAAACTGACACTCGTATTCTCTGCAATTCATAACCTTCAACGAGACAAAGGATTTCTAAGTTTTATGCCCATTAAGAAATCTCTGCGTCATCCGCCGTCTACTGATCAGAAGAGCTGCACATGATTGACTTCTATGAAATCGTAAATCGTGCTATGACGCGTTAAATTCTCGTGTAAGTTCCGTGAGGTTTTTTACCACTTGTAGCTGACAGTGAGCAGCTCAAAGCGACGACACAGTCGTCGCCCTGCGAGGTTTATCTACTCTATGGGGAGATCATACCTAAGAGGCTTGGCCATGGGAAGTATGGATGAAAATTTCTCTTTGTCTATTCTACATCCGCCCTTCATCCCTAGAGCGCTGCAACAGAGGTCACTATTGATCGAAAAGGTTCAACTAGCTCCAGGTGTCTATGCTTTCATTCAATGGGAAGCCGTCACCAGTTGGTTCCTCTCTGGGTGCTGCACTGCCTTTGCCAACTTCAGTTTTGCCCTTCAAAGTTTTCAAGAAAAAACGTAATAAAAGTCACTGTCTGATTAGGACATTCGAGCACAGTCTATACATCGTTCGGCAAACTGGAGTGAGGATTTTCGAATTTGCCACCAATCACTCACAGGGAAGAACTTGACGACATCTCATACTCGCAGCCATGACGAGCTCGAGCGCGCTGGTTTCACTGAGCTTGCTGGCGGCTCTGGTGATATCGAGCGCCAATGGAGCGTGTACCAGATTCTTCACAGCAGAGGATGCGCAGTCCGTAAACGTTCCCAGCAATTTGGACCCGGAGCTCATTCCTCCGCAGGGCAATGTGCCCATCGCTCAGCTTTTCGGACTGGGTGCTCAGCATTACACCGCCAACGGCACGGCATGGGTGCTGACGAGCGCCACCGCTGAGCTCTTCAATTCGCGCTTCGAGAATATTGGCGTCCACTTCTACCTGCCGCACGCTGACCCCAAGGGTGGCCAGCCTTCCTGGAAGACACCGTGCCCTCGAAGTCTTGTCACCGCCAAGCGCGTCTTCACCGCGCCGGTTCAAAACAATAACATCCCCTGGGTACTGCTGGAGGCTACCAATTCCCAAGGCTCCTGGTGAGTCTGACCCTTCAATCCCCCACCAATTGCCTCTGCATGTTTGATCAGTTCCACCACCGTGAGTTTGTGTCAAATGTTCGAGAAAGAAATCCCAGCGCTCGAGCAAATTTTCAGATTGATGCCTTAATGTGGGTCGAATCTAAGATTTGTAAATTGGGCATGTCCGTTTACTAGGATTCTACCAAAGTTTCCTCCTTAGCTTGTGACTCGAGTCAGCCTGTGACTGCAATTGCATTCACGGGGCAGGAAGAGCTGAGGTGCAAATGTGGCACCATGTTGTGGATGTGAATGCAGTGGGTTATTTGGCGATGTGACCTACGTTCAAAGGCTGTTCACAAAGAACGGTCTGCCTACTTCGACTGCGCCTACGGATATTAATGCTACCTTTAGCTCGTCGTACACATCGTTCTATGTGTTCTACAAGCAGATGTAGACGAATGAGTGTCATGAGTCGCCGGAGAGTGGGCGACTGAGGTCATTAAGGCATTCGATGAGTGGATTCAACAACAAAAGCACGACCTAGAAGCTGCAAAACTCGGGGCTCTACCCAGAGAGGTGCTGAAGAAGCTGGTGGCGAGAGCAGTGGCCGCTGCCATGTACAAAGTGTAGCTGAAGGTTTGTCTACGTCTCTGGGAGAGATGGTGGTGGAGAAGACAGAGGGTTGGGGTTTCCAGACAGCAGGAGAAGCAGCATGGATTGCAGTGAAAAGTTGGGCTTGTCAGCAAGTGGTCACGGCGGGTGAATTGAAAACGGAGAATTCTGGGGCGAGTGATGATCATCTTCGTCTGCTTTCTTTCGTCTGTATATGGAGCATTGATAGCTCACGCTGTACATAAGGAAGTTTTCGGTCAGACCCACTTAAGTTTAAACCGGGCATCTTGCTAGGCTCCAGCGCTTTTTTTCACTTTATCCAGTTTCAAAATTGCAATAGTTTTTCCATGAATTCGAACAGATCTTACAAAATATTATTGATTACAGGATACTTCTTGAATATGTCCGGCTCATGTCGTTACGTAATGGGTATCTTTACTGTATATAATTGCAGAGTAATTGATTTCAGATTGGATAGAAGGAAGAATACGGTCAGAACTAAATTGTCAACATGGGATCTGACTCTGAATTTGTCATCTTTCAAAAGCTCCGTTGTAATATCAAACCAAGTGAAGTGCCAGCACGTTCTGCCACATATTCCCATCTCTGGCAATTGGAACTTTTCTAGCTTAGTGTAGCTGATCACATATTAGATGGAAATTGTGTGTCTTTTTACGCTGTACATTACGCTGAATTTGCTAAAAACAATGTTTGCAACAAAGGAACGAAGGTTTTGGGTGACTATCTTTGGCAATCATAGACAAACTATCCAAAACATCTCTTTGTCTTGGCCAAATTTTCTTGTGGTAACCATGTTAGAATCAGAAAGTTATTGAAAGTTGACAATATAAGGAAGTTTCTTCAACTCTGTGTATACCCAAATCACACTATCATGAAAGACCCATGCAATTAAATCCATACATTATCATATGCAAACACACAGGAGAGGAAGGCAATTTATGTAATAGACATCAGCAGAACAATTGTGACACATGGGACGTGTGTACAGAAATGTTTTTGTCTATATAACAATGCTGGATAGTAGATGAAAATTTACATGGTCTCAGTATATTCAAAATTCTTTCGCTTTTGACAGAAAGAGGCGGTTCCTTCTGAACTAAATCGGGTTTCCTGCAAAACATGCACATTATTGTGGCTACTACAGAAGTCGGGTGAAACTTGACGTGTGAAGCTGCACAAATACTAAAAGTTTTTACGTTTACTATAAGCTACTTTTATTCCATAATCCGAACAATGTGACCTTACTCTTATGCATTTCTCTGAAATTTTCCAACGGGATGCATCTTGGAAAATACTAAATTTTCTAAGAACCGGCGGTTTAGGGTAGAAAGTTGACGTGTGATATTGTATTTTATGTTGAGAAATTCGGGTAGGATCTGTCACAGCCGGAACTTAGTTGTAGGAAAAAGTAGGTAAGTGTTAGTGTGGGTACTTCTGGATACGGCAGATAGTGTTGCCATTGGGCAGGAAAATCAACATAGTCATTTTGAAGTCGCTCAATATATTCAACCTGAACAAGACTTCTGAATTAAAAATAGTTTCTGAAGCGAGAAAGCGACCAAGAGCAGGAAACAGGTGGATCGTTTATCCACGATTGCCAAAGATTGTAAACTTCTGACGAGGATGATCTGGGTTTGGGGTGCCAAAGATTGTCTTGCAAAATCTACATCATCATTGTCAAAAGATGGAATACTGATTGTTACTACGTGATGTGAAAATTGGAATCGAAGTATTTTTTGGTTGTATGTATATATTATTCAGCAAAATTTCGCACAAAATTTGTACAAATTTAGCAAAAACTAGCCCAATCCGAATGTTTCAAATGTGTGATCTACCACACTCTGAGTTATGAACGCTGCAGAATACCTTAAATGAAATATGTGGCAGCACATATTCTCATCACGGCCTCTATGCAGCCCTTGCTTCGAAATTACAACAGAACTTTTGAAATATGACATTCAATCCGCATCAGTCTTATCAACACATGTTGATGAAACTTTGTTTTGTCCAAACAGACCGATGCGATTGCGCAGCAGTAGTTATGTACAGCAAAGAAACTTCATTCCGACATGTGCCGGACATATTCCAGAAGTATCTCATGAAAAATAGTACATTGTGGAAAATGTGAATTCATGAATACTATTGCAACTTTGATGCTGAATAAAGTGGAGAAAACCTACTGGAGCCTAGTGAGATGCCCGGTTTCAGCTGAATTGTAAGTCCCATAAGATTCTAATGCCCTCAGCCAGTCTTGGTTAGGAGACATTGACATCAACAAACGAAGAACTCTGACATGAATGTAAACTTATGTCTTGAAAGTTGTTACAATCATCCATTATTCTGTGGTATATGTTCGTCAACTTCTACGGTATCATCTGTCCATGATAAAGTTTGATCCATCGACATCCTCGAACTGAATCAATTCTCTCTAAAAGGTTTCATCCTCTCTACTATCTTCAATTAGCTTGCAGAGACCAAGCCTACCGTAGGATTTAAATAGAATTCTGTCAGCTCCCAATCGATAAAACATTTGTAATAACATTATTGGAGATTTCGTCTTCCAGAAATATTCCTCAAATCTTATGATCATGTGGTGAGTTACTTCATGAATATTGGTTCCTTTGATACTCACAATTCCATACCAGCCCATTGTAAAATCATGTTATTTGAAGCAACGGTGAAGATGTTTTAGGACCTCTTTATAAATTCAAACGCAGATGAGAAGACCGAACTTAACGACAATTCGAGTTGAAAGAAGAAATGGCGGAAATCTCGGCCAGTAATTAGTCCACAAATACTATACATCCAAAGGCCATGTGTTCACGAGCATCTACAATGTAGATCCGGCTGTATATATGCATGTAGATTCTACATACATATATAAAGCCGGACTAGTCCAGACTGCGGTGTCTACTACCGCTGTAGTATAATAATTGACATTCGGCTCTGGAGAGAACTATGATAATCTACAAGTGGTGTTCTTCATGTTCCTCATCATGGAACTCGTCCTCCTCATCGGCTGTTGCATCTTGATACTGCTGGTATTCTGATACGAGATCATTCATGTTGCTCTCGGCTTCTGTAAATTCCATTTCATCCATGCCTTCACCAGTATACCAGTGCAAGAATGCTTTTCTTCGGAACATGGCGGTGAACTGCTCGCTCACCCTTTTGAACATCTCTTGAATGGCAGTGGAGTTGCCGATGAAAGTGGCTGACATGCGCAGGCCCTTGGGTGGAATATCACAAACGCTGGACTTGACATTGTTTGGAATCCATTCCACAAAGTACGAGGAGTTCTTGTTTTGGATGTTTAGCATCTGCTCGTCCACTTCTTTCGTACTCATCCGGCCTCGGAACACGGCCGACGCCGTCAAGTAGCGACCGTGGCGTGGATCCGCCGCACACATCATGTTCTTCGCGTCCCACATCTGCTGGGTCAGTTCGGGCACCGACATCGCCCGATAGGACTGTGAGCCACGCGATGTCAGCGGAGTGAATCCCACCATGAAGAAGTGCAGCCTCGGGAACGGGATCAAATTCACTGCCAACTTGCGCAGGTCGGAATTCAGCTGACCGGGAAACCGCAGGCACGCCGTCACTCCAGACATTGTTGAAGATATCAAGTGATTCAAGTCTCCAACTGCAACGAACAGCGAGCAATTCATCACAAGATTTCAGAATTGGTTCGTATCAGCCCGGGAACATATGTCAAGGATGCATGCGGTGAACTGAATCTTTGAAGTTATCTTCTCCTGACTATCCAGTTTGAGCTCGATTCTGTGAGTGGAAGAGTTCATCTGAATCATGGCGTGGGAGGGAGGGTAGAGTATTAGAGGTACGTACAGGTGGGGGTCATGAGCTTTAGTGTACGAAAGCAAATGTCGTAGAGAGCTTCGTTGTCCAAAATCATGCACATATCTGAATTTTCGACCAGCTGGTGGACGGACAAGGTTGCATTGTAGGGCTCAACCACAGTGTCCGATACTTTCGGCGAAGGAACCACCGAGAATGTCACCATGATGCGGTCAGGATACTCCTCGCGGATCTTGGAGATCAACAAGGTGCCCATTCCCGCTCCGGTTCCTCCACCCATGGAATGACACACTTGAAACCCTGCACGCAGATGCATGGGGGCTCAGCACAATTGTGACCTCAGTGTACAGCAGAAAGCTGCACTACCAAGAGCCTGCCAAAAGAATTAGTCTTCCGAACTAGGCAAGGAGAACCTAGTACCACGAAACAGCAGCTGCAGTACTTGTTGGCAAGCAAGACAGACAGTTGTTGTGACACCATCCGGTTCAAAACATCTTGAATCACGCGGATGTGTTGCAAGCTGGCTGGCGGGAGAAGATTCCTCAGGCTCGCGATCGAGGTCCATGGAATCCGCGGTTACCAATTGCAAGCTGGTTCCGTAAGTCCAGATTAAAGAAATTAAGCTGTGTTGACGATCATCAACATTCGAGAATATGGCCTGCACGAGAAGCACGAAATAAAACATGGGGAAGGTAAATAAGTCACACTAAAATCGGCGACCCATCGAGTTCATCAACCAAATCATGGGAATGGGCTTCTGAAGCTCTACAGATGGCCGAGGAGTGACGATCGGCCAGAATCACATACCTTGCAAGCAGTCGCAGCTCTCGGCCTCTCGGCGCACGACGTCGAGAACAGAGTCTATGAGCTCGGCTCCTTCGGAGTAGTGGCCCTTGGCCCAGTTGTTGCCGGCACCCGTTTGGCCAAAGATGTAGTTATCGGGCCTGAAAACCTGTCCATACGGCCCGGACCGCAGACTGTCCATGGTGCCAGGTTCCAAATCCATGAGCACCGCTCGTGGAACGTAGCGGCCTCCAACCGCTTCGTTGAAATACACATTGATCCTCTCGAGCTGAAGATCCGAGTCTCCATGATAAGAACCGGACGCGTCCACTCCGTGCTCGTCACAGATCACCTCCCAAAACTTGGCGCCGATCTGATTACCGCACTGCCCGCCTTGGATATGGACGATTTCTCTCATCCTTCACTTTCTCCAATACAAGCTCGATTGAGAAGGCAAACGGATCGGACAGATATGACGATACTGCGCGCAGTGGCGTCTAGCTTCTCCAGAAGTAAAGGGCATGCAGATCCACGTTTCGTTCTCATAAGCCTTTCAACGGGGACCCAAATTCAGCAGAAAGCTCCTCAGAAGCAGCGGATGATTATGGCTTCTCGAGGTCGCTCTCGGGACTGCAGAAGACACGGATCCGAGGACTCCGCCGAAGCCGACGATTTCGGACGCAGATACCCAAAGGGCACAGCCTGCAAGCTTTGCTGCGACGAGTGAGAACTGTTCGGTTCAAGCGAACCGAAAGCTGGAATGCGGAATGGCCTGCAGTGACGACGAACGCGACGCCCTTTGAACGGCGTCGGTGGGAGACGAACTGTTTTTCGGCCAGTTTGTTGCGAACGGTTGAAACCGTCGACGAGCTCCGAAATGTCTCGAAATCGATCTGAAAGCCTTTGGGAAGACGCAGAATGGACCTGGGCTCATATGTTCGCTTCCGGTAAGCCATCCATTCTAAGTATATGATTCACATTTTCAATGAGGTGTCAAATATGTCGCTAAATAAAAATGTGAACCTTTCCCAAATAAATAAAAAAAATCAATTGCAAAATGTATAAACTTTAAATAAGTAATCTTCTTGTCTTATAATCTTTAATTAAATTGATTTATTTCAATACTGGGAATCTGTTGCCATAACCAGATTACATTAAAAGATAAATTTTTATAAGTATCGTTTTATTGAGAGAGATTCAATAATAAAAACAATTTCATAATAGATTAATATATATTTTGAATACGATAATTACATCAAGAAATATAAACATTATTTTGATATTTTTCAAACCTGTATTTAAAGAATAATTATTTTTGCATATGTTGTAAATTCTTGTTTGTATATAGATATAAATACTTTCAGAAGATGATACTAAAATTTAAAAATTAAACATGGTTTCAGGTAAAAAAATTCATAATTATTACAATATGATATTGGTTTATAAAAAATGGAAAAAAATAAATTTTATTAATACAAGAATCTAAGCAAGGAATATAGGTGAATCTTTCATATATACAAAAGTAAGAACTTGACAAGTAATCAAAATTCCTATGATTGTTGAAAACAATTCCAAAATACATGAACAATAACCATAAACAAAAAATACAAGGTTTGATCATGTTTGTACATGCATTTCATGGTAGATAAAAATTGTAGTAGATATCACTATGAGCACGTTGTTATTATCATGTAAGTGATATACTTTCAATGAAACTAAATTATGACCTAACAAGATCATGAAGAGCTAGCAAAACACATATATAACTAATTAATTATATATAATTACTTTCTTTTCTTTTAGCCAAAAGAAGATAAAAAATTTCATAAATTTTAATATTTCTTATTGCATATATGAACATTCTTTTATAACAAAATTTCCAAATTTTTTGACTATTTTTTTTAACTAAACTACTGCATAATAATAATCAAAATTGATAAATATTGAATTTTTTGATGGCTTTGTGAATCTTCAAAATTTGAAATGGATTATATTGTGAAAATTATATCACATGAAACAAAAGATATGTTTGTTGATTAAATCAACACTATAACTCGTAAAATGATCACTAATGTGTCGTGCGAATACATATCGCTATACACTCTACATCGCTGACATGCTACTCACATACCCACACACATACACACATATAAGGCGTGAGAGAGTACACACTCAAATGTCACAACTCGCCCCCCTAGCTGGCGGTCAGGTCCCTCTGACTCCCATGTAGCCCTATCTACAACTACATGCTATATTCCTTTGTGGGTGCGCGAACCAGTAGGCCGGGTGCTATGTCGCCCCATCGTTAGTCGCCTATCTGCAATTCATAACATGTGAAGATCAAGTCATCTACCCCTATGAAGTACATCGAGGACAAACCCATCGTCCAGCCGGAATAACATCGATAGGCGGAGTTAGGCACGACATGTGCCATCCCCTAGAGCACCTATCACACACCAACATACGGGCCGCCTGACCAACTGACCCACATAACATGCACCTCAAGCCAGCACGTACTATCGCTAAGCTTGGGTCCATAGTGCCATCTACGTTTCGGAGATGGCATGGCGCACAATTGCGCACATGATCCTTCCAAACAACGCCGTCACGACCCTCCAACATGAGAACTCCAGAAGGTAACACCTCCCGCACTCGCAAGATTGTGCGTCCCACCGTCACATCCAATGTCGTCGGTGCAGTCTGCTATAGATAGACGTAGTCTCCCACATGAAATCTACGAATCGATGGTCGATAACCTCCTCCCCGAATGGTTGCATATCGCAATGTATCTCTATATTGAGCAATCGCAAGATTCTCAAACGCTGCAGGCATAACTCTCTGAAAGATCTCTTCACGCTGAGAACATACTCTCACCCACATATTCGGGTCATCAAGGTTCACCACCTCGCTAGACTCACGACGAATCGATGTTGGCAAGTCTGGATCTCGGCCTTACAATAGAAAATATGGTGAGAAGGAAGCCAAGGATGCTTGACGACTGAACCGGTATCCCATGGCCAACCACGGTAGCTAGATATCCCAGTCCCCAAGATGACCTTTCTGTAGGCCATACTTGCGCAACGCCCTCTTCACCGTCTGTACAACACGTTCAGCCAAAGCATCCGTCTGTGAATGATCTCGCGATGTGGTCCGATGATCAATCAGCGCCTCGTCACACAAGACCTGAAACTCACCTTGAAACTACGTCCCCTGATCGGTCAACACCTCAGCTGGTGCACCATAGTGACTAAGCACTCTTTCAAGGAAAGCATACGCTACTCCCTCACTCGCCTTGTCAGGTAATGCTACCAACTCAATCCACTTGGAGAAATGCTCCACCATCACCAACACATACCGATGATGTCGTACAGTCAAAGGTAGTGGTCCAGCGAAGTCCAAACTCCAACGGTAACCCAACCCCATGATGGGTAATGGATGTAACACTGGTGTCGAAGCATTGAATGATGCCCTCACCCGATCGCAAACCATGCAACGTGATACCGACTGCTGTACCTGAGTATGCATACCACGCCACCAATATTAACCAAGGAGTAAGCTATATGTACGCTTCACTCCAAAATGTCCCAACTCCTCATGAGCATGCCTCACAATGCGTGCTCTCTGAGCTGGATGTGGTACTACTTGTACCCTACCGTCCTCCCAGACTCGGAGAACATGTGATCCCTCCAATCGGTATCTCTTCGCCCGTTGGAGAACATGATCTCGCTCCTTCGCACCCACTGTGCCTGGCACCATGCTGGTCCGTAGGAACTCCAACACCAATGCATCATCGTGAACATCACGCTGATCCACACCACCATCCTCAACCTCAAGATCTAAAGATCGACCATCTATTCTCTGACTAGAGTAAGATGTCAGATGATTCTCTTTGCTTGAGTTTCCACATAACCAACACATGAAGGCAGATGCATGCCAACCAGGCACCATCTCCTTGTCAACCTCACCATGCCATCTAGCTCCAGTGTCATCCTCCTGGCTAGTGCATGGGTTCTGACTCAAACCATCGGCATCTAGGTTCGCAACTCCAGGTCTATGCACTACCTGAAAGTCGTTCTCCGGTAAGATGAGAGCCCACCGTGCAAGCTTCCCCGTAAGCTTGTCGGACTCCATCAACCACTTGAGCGGTTGATGATCAGTAACAAGGGTGAACTGCGTACCAAACAAGTAACACCTGAAGTGTGCCACAGCCCACACCGCTGCCAAGCACTCTCCCTTGTACGAACTATACCGCAACTCCGCTGCATTGTTCAAACGACTAGCGTACGCAACCACAAACTCCTTGCCCTCATCATCACGCTGCGTCAACACCGCCCCTAGTCCCAACATACTCCAATCAGTGTGCAACTGGTATGGACGACCTCTGATAGGTCTCCTCAAAATGGGAGCGGCCACCAACCTGGCCTTGAGCTCAACAAAAGCTCTCTCCTGCTCATCTCCCCATTGCCACTCCTGATCTAACTTCAGCAACTGGTTCAAAGGCTTGGCTATAGCACTGAACCCCTTCACATACCTCCGGTAGTAGTTCGCCAAACCCATGAATGCACGAACTCTACTCACATCCGTGGGACGAGGGATGCGTGCAATAGCCTCCACCTTTGCTTGCTGAACTCCTAAACCACCTGGGTATATCACATGACCCAAGTACTCAACCTTCTCCTGGAAGAACTTACACTTCCCAGGATGTAACCTCAAACCATGAGCCCTCAATCGCTCAAACACAATCTGCAAATGTATTTGGTGTTGCTCCACAGTGTCACTAAACACCAAGATATCATCAATGTAACATCTGACAAAATCCAGCCCCGCTAGGATTCTGTCCATAACCCTCTGAAACTCGGCACGTGCATTCTTCAACCCAAAGGGTAAGAATCGCCACTGATACAAACAATCCTTGCCGTGGGAGTTAACGCCCCAAAACGCTGTTTTGGTTTTGTCCTCTTCCCAAATTGGCAACTGATGATATCCTGCCCGAAGATCCAAAGTATTAGAAATCCTCGCATGTCCCATCACATTGAAGATCTACTCAGGTGTAGGCATGGCATACTTATCGGACTTCGTCTGCCGATTGATAGGACGGTAGTCTCCACACATGCGCCTATCCGTGTAGTTGCCATGTACATCCTTCTTCACCGGCATGACAGTGGCTGACGCATACTCACCATGCGATAACTCCACTAATCCAACATCCAGTAGGTCCAACGTCCTACTCCGAATCAAATCTCTTTCCATCTCACTATATCGATAAGGACGACGGAAGATTGGCGTATCACTAGCCAATTCTATCCGTATACCGGGTCCAATCAACGCACCCAACTCCTTCATACTAAAGGCAAAACAACTCCTATAGTCTCGTAGGAATCGTGTCAATCGTCGCCTCTCTCCTCATGTGATCTGGGAACCAATCAATGGCTTCCATTCCTCCTCCATATACACACTAGAGGGAGGCGACACTGTCAATGGTTGCTACGCTACATCCTGCAAAGAAGGGTTCTTCATACCCTCCTTCGTAGCCACCTCCACATGAAAATCCTCTCCAACTGCATGGGCTGCAACTTTGGCAAGTCCTTTCGTCACGTCCCATAAACTCCAAGGATGACGAATATCTCGCCTGTCGCCCCTAGCCATTGTCACTACCGTCCTGGTAGGCAATGAGCTAACAAGTGGTGTACTAACCATTAAATCAATGCGCAAACGACGTTGCTCCGCCAAACCCAAGCTCACAATCCACGTCAAGCAGT